TGTGATAAGTTGTATCACGCGTATCATAAGCGTTGCTTTAATAGCTGTCCGCATTACCCATGTAATAATCGTGGGAAAGAAGCATTTATTCTAAAATGTACAGTTGTCCGTGCTGATTTGGCGAACATCGAAGAGTTGCGGCGACAGAACTTTTACACCTCGCATTATTTTCGCTGCCCAGAGTGTCGGAAAATATCTCTGTACTGTACAGATGAAAAGCATCATATTGCAGCTAAACAGGCCTGCAGTTGTCTGAATGATCGGGAAGGGAAGTTTGTTGAATTACCGGTGCAGGAACAACGCGCTATTGCACGGTTGGCGGTTTTGGTTTCGCATACTTCCGTTTGCGCATGTCAGACCGGTTGTAAATGGTCTGAGGAAAAGTCAGGAGGGGTCGTACCTACAGCGCCGCCTTTTCTAGAGTCATCTTCAGAGTCCTCTTCGGAAGATGAGTTGCCGCCTAAACCAGCTCCTGCTGGTAAAGGAAAGAGGTTGGCGGCTATGTTTACTTTAGGCCTTCTAATGGCTATGTTGCCTCCGGATTGTCAAGCAGTTTTGATGACGGCATGTGACTGCCGCAATCCAGAATACAAAGGCACAGTTCAGCTAAATAATTTTCACAGTTGTGGGATTCCAAAACCCAGGTTAAACGCGTCCTTAGTCCATTATAGACTTATAGAGTACAAACCAGAGGCGGAACTAATTCATGGGTATGCATGTCGGATGACCCTGAAGGTGGTAACTGTTTCGTCTTTCTGGACGGGCGGCACTGACACAGTAGGTAAAGAGGTCCAACTCAAGGTTAGTGCAGGCGACTGCTGGAATATGGTTTTTACAAATCGCTGTAAAGGCCAGTCGATGACGATAGAAAATGAAGTGCATAAATTTTGCATAACGCCGGTGGCGCAGTCAAGTTATCTTCGAACTATTCAAACGGAAGTAACGTGTTGCTTCTATGAAAAAATGACTTTCGAGCAGCATTACAATGACTTGTCCATAATGAGTCCCACCGGTAAATTGGCAAGTCATAGATTGCAAGGTTTCGCAGTGCAGCACGGCACAACATTTGTTTGGCCGAAAACGTCAGATCATGGCAGTAGCTACTGCAATTTGCAAACCGTGTATCAAGGGGTTGGGAAGCTGCATACTGACAGTCATAATGCAAGTTACTTGCATGACGCAAGAGGACAAATGGATTTCAAGCTGCTTCCCGAATTAATTAAATGTCAAGAAACAGTTTTCCCAGTTGAGTCTGAGCCGCATGTGTACATTCAAGTTGCGTCTAAACCTTTTACTAGCAAAAGTAATGATTCATTGCCATCAATTGCCGCATATCTAGCAGCACACTTTAATTTTTATGAAGACCAAACTGTGAAACATTTAAATCATGTACAAGATGAGATCAAGGAGATTGACTGTGTGGTAGATATGATGAGAATGCAGTTTGTAATGTTACTTTCGAAATTCAGCTCAGTGTTAGCCGCAAAATTTTTAAATTATCCGCCGTGCTACTCTTTGCGCTCTTACGGCCCTACTGGTATCCTGGCAAAGTGTAAAGAAGTGAGAGCTAACTTTTCGGCTACTCGTAACCCGCATTGTGGTCATCAGCCAGTGTGGAAAAATTTCACTTTAAGCCAGGATGGTGTAACTTTAACAAAACGTGGGGTTTGCGTGTTCCGCGACTCTTTTGTAAATTTTGGTGGAATCATTCATACATACCGTAATGGCAGGTGGCAGCGAGTGGAGCCAACTCGCCAGTCTCAGTTTCTCCATGTTCGGTCAAAATTTATGGCAGTTCAGGATAACAGCAATAGCATTTTTTCTCACGGTCTTAGAGCCGATCCCATGGAGTTAGTTCAGCTTATGGGTGAACTTAATGGGCTTGTTATCGAATCCGGAAGTGAGTCGGTTGCTAACTATTTTGGGAACGCTTTTAACACGACGGAGGTCAAGGAACGTCACTCGATATTATCTAGAGTGCAGGCAACGTTGAGCGCGTTTGTCAGCTGTAGTCTGATAGCTGGGTTGGCATTCTTCTTGTTTAAGTACACTCCGTTTTTTCAGTGCACCGCCAGAGCAATTTGTTTACTGGTGAGACTTTGTTGTCGTTGTTGTGCACGTATCATGTGCAAAAAGCGGAAGTCACCAGAGTGTGACCACGTTGAGGTGGTCATGGAGGATCAGAAGGGTGATAGCACCCAGGGTATGAGTCACGGTGCACTAAATGAAGTGCGGCGTGCGACTTCGCTCTGAGGGATAGCTCAATGGAAATGAATATGTAAATATGTACAAAGCTATATATTTTATAGGTACGTCCAAGGTTGTACTTTGTATGAACAAAATTATATCAAACTTATTAAACCACTAAATCTTAAAAAAAAACTACTACTTATAATATTTAGCTGCCATATGAAATTTGGAGTTGCTCTAGTCAGACCGTCTTGCCCTTATCTTTTATTTACGTTTTAAGTTTGCATGCTAGCTCGTGCATACTAGTTATGGAACTTTCAGGGATCATTTTTGTTTTTGTTTACAAATTTTATTTTGTATTGTGTTGGAATTTTCAGAAGTAACAGTTATTACAATTTACTTTTGTTTTGCTTAAATTTTATTATTACTCATTTTTCTCTGCGCGAACGGCTTTCTGTGATCTCACTTGTACTGGTAAGCGCCTTGTGCGGGACGAAGCGCCAAGGTTGGGTGGATTTCTTTGTAGTCTCATCAGATGACTCCACGTGAGCAGAAGCGGGCAGCTAGGACGGCGAGGCGACGACCACATTGGGTCACGTCTCAAGAGTTCATGCAGCAGCATCCAGAGCAGCAGGTTGTTCAGGTGCGGAGCGTTGTGACTATTCCCGATTGGAGTAGCCTCCTACAATTTGGGTTGGACGGGCGTCGAGGGGTCAAGGAAAAGGACGGATCGATGCTAGTAACTGTTAGTGATTTAGCGCAGTCTGGTGCAGCGTCTGTGGGTACAATCACTGACAGTGATGCAGTTATACACCTGCTGGCGAAGGCAGAAGCTATCCTCAAGCGTGGCATTCGGACGGAAGAGATGAGGCCTCGTCGGAAGTCAATTCTCAGTATGTTGGGAGTGATACGTTCAACGCGAGAAGATGCCAAAATGTTTATGCCTGAGGGAGCGGTATTTCGTCAGGATGGATGGCCAAATGTGTGGGAAATCAAATACATCTTCTTTGAAGATTTCGATAAATTCCAAGATCAGCATTACATTTCATACACGGGTTCTGATGGAGTCATGCGTCGCGAATGTTGGCGTGGATTTGTTTATCGCGATATGGGAAAGGATCAGTTTCGTCCAGTGCCGGAGTATCCACGGTACTTTTTTCCGTATCGCTGGTTTACTGAAAGGTTGTCGCGTGAGGACTGGAATATCCCAGGGGAATGCCATTACCCTCCCATGGACGAGCAGCGTCTTACTGCACTCTTCAGCGCCGTTAAGGGAGAGGGAGAAGAAACTGGGAAGGAGAGTGCGACACTGGAGACTTTGGATTGGACCGACGCGGACGCGGAGTGGAAGGAGATACAGGACGCCAAGATGGGACTGGAATTCGATTAACGGGTTGGTAATTTAGCGCCCGTTGGACAGTAGCGGGTTGGTTCAAGCGCCCGCTTGGATCGAGGATAAAGTTAGAAGTTAATTTGGAGAAATATCAGGTTGGCTGCCGGCGCCTGATGTTTCAAAAGTTGGTTGTGGCACATCGTGTTGGTTACCGGCGCACGATGCACCGTCACGATTGACTTCTGGTACGAGTAATGTGCTCATTCTTATTGCTCATTGTATTTCCTTGGATGCATCGTATGTGGATTGTTGTGCCGAGGACGTCACAGTCCAGAGAAGGAGCGTGTCACGAGTATGACTGGTTGAAGTACAGTTTGTATGGACAGTCATATCGTGATATTACCGGAAGGATCAGTGTGTATGAATCATTGCCTTATCGATTTGTATAAGTACATTGTGGACAGACAACAGACAGCAATAATCGGAGTACATATGTATGGGTGCTGAGATTGTCCTATGAGAACCACAGGAAAAGACCAAGGAAGTGGCCAGAAAGTGTCAACCAATTAACATCGTGTTAAGTGGACTTTAATCTCTAAAAGTGGTCGATAAAAGCTTGTCCAATGTTTTGTCTATGAGTACATATTATTTTAGAGGCGTGTCATTTGTGTGTTTTGTAAAATGCATGAAAGATCACTGTTGAGTGTGATGGAAGAAGAGCAAGTCTGAAGAGAGTTAGTTATCACCTTCAACTGTTGGATAGTGGAATATTTTCTATGGAAGCTTTTCTATAGTCTAATAGTAGTCCAGTGATGACTGTGTTTTGATTAACTAATAAAGGTCAACGTGGTCAGGTCGATTGGGTTAGCGTCGCATCTGAGTTAGCTATTCAGTAAAGGTCATTCGCCACCATAAACCATCAGTAGCTTTACGCTATCTGACAACATAATCGTCAGGACATAATCGTGTTACTATTACAGTAAGAGTAACCCGCGTGCGCGTCTGACGCCCACGTTCAGCACTGAAAATGTACAGATGAACCGATCCAGGGAACTTATTTTCTGTTAAGTGCATTCCCAATGCCGCGCCGGTATGGCTGGTATCACCATAATACTTAGTATGTAGAAGCAAACCTGTGTTCCTTAGAAGCAAACCTTCTTTAGAAAATTTTCCGGGCCCTGTGGATAACCACAAATCTAATGTGCATTTCGCAGCACAATATCCACTCATTTGGGTACTGGACAGTCTTGGGTTAGGCCAAGATCGAACTCACCACCGATCACCAGTCGTCATCAACATAACGATAACGAAGTGATAAGAAACACCATTTCATCAGTATTAGTCAAAGCAAACGATCGATGCACAGTTCTAACAGCTAACCGTTCCCGTTTTCGCGATTCATCACTCGGCTGAAGATAAGATATCCATACAACAGTGACTACAAGTCTACAAATACCAGAGTAATAATTATTACTGTGGTAAGTTTACGGTTGGTTGATTTGATATTTTAACTTCACCATCTTGAACTGCTTCCATAATTCCGTTACGGTGTTGATATGAACTCATAAATGTCATAAAAAACGAGAAAGATGACTTTTCATGCGCGTGTTTATACAGTATATGTGTTCTGGATGGTTTATGTTTCCTTTCCAAGCTGCGAATGCATAATCGGTGGATCCGATGTGGAGTCAGTACAACAACACTCGTTTCTGGTGGCTCTGGTAAAGCGGAAATCCGAACTGCATTGCGGCGGTACGGTGATCAGTCCCTGGTTTGTCTTAACGGCTGCACATTGTTTCTGTGAGGAAGACGAATTCATCGACACGTGGTAAGTACTGGATGTACGCCTTTGGTGTTACGCTACCGGTGCTGCAGGTTGCACCAAATACGAGTTCCCGTGAAATATCTTGTCAATTTGACGCTTTCGTGTTCTTTTTGTCCCAGTCCAACTACCGTAGTTACCGCCGAGCATGCACGGATTTGGTCTGAAAAAGCATTCTCCCATCTCCAGCCGGTCTTGAACGTATATGTCCATCCCGAATTCAGTTGCAAAAATTTCGCTTATGCAATACCCAACGATGATGTTGCACTGTTAGAGCTCTACACTCCACTTCCAGTGAAACCCATTAGCCTGCGCTCCATACCTTGGGAGGAACGGGCCAGTCAGCGCGTGGAGTTGGTCGGATGGGGTGCAACGGGTACAGTACAGCAGTGGCAGACTGGCAGTATCTCGGTTATCAGTCGTGTGAAAGATATAAAGCATTTTTACTGTTGTGGACAGTGATAAGGCCGGCTGGCCGGGCAACTTTATACATAATCTGCGAATGGTTTGCAGTTCCCGGTGGCAAAAGTATGAGCACTATTCTGCGTACAGTAGAGACGGAAGTGGTGCCGCCGAACGAGTGCCGCGATGCAGTTCATGCGTACCAGAACTTAACGTCCAGTCCAGGGAGGGACGGCGAGGTCGCCGGCGACGATGACCACAAAACATTTGCCGACACACTGAAGTATTACGAGGAAAGACAACTTTGCACCAAAGGCTTTGTGAACAACCATCCCGCTGATTCCGCGAAAGTACGGTTGCTATTTTAAACACGTACCTGTAATAACTATCACTACAAGTTACGCTTTCTCCTTTGGTGCCCAGTCAACGGGCTCAGCTCTATCTGGAGAAGGCGATATCTGGGTCTGTTTGCGCAGGCAAACCTGTAGAGGAAGGATAATGACTATCTGTACCATGTTTTTAATCAAAACCATAGAGAGATACATTGATGTTACGTAATCTAATCATTTCATGCTTTTATGTATAGCCTAGCATAAAACAATCATTAATTACCGCGTTTAAAACAATCTTCCGGCCGGTAAGGTAAATAGCATTAATAATAGCGCAACATTTGGGGTGGCATGGATCCGGACGTCCTAGTTGCATGACAATACAAATATCCGCTCAGATGGCCCTCTGACAGCTAACCAATTGTGATCAAGATGTTTGCATAAATTGTAATCACAAAAATTTTAACTGACACGTTTTTTGCAGGGTGACAGTGGCGGCCCGGTCATATTGAGAGTTCCTGGACAAGAACCAGTTTTGATAGGAGTTATTTCCAGTAGTTTCAAGTAAGGTTACTACGAGTTCGAGTACAATACGTACGTACGTATTCGGTTTCCGCATAGACATGACCTATGGTCGCACGACATTTTCAAGCCTTTGCTACAAAGAGACAGCTCGATGATAATATAAGGGCACAACCTTCGAACAAAAGGCCCGCTGTTTTACACAGTTTGGCTAAATTGTAGTGGAACGTCCGGCGATAGGAATAGTCCCGGAATTAACGTGAATATCACGTATTACAAGGAATGGATTGCTGGGATCATACAAGCGAGTGGTGGCTTGGACATTTTCGGTATGAGGAATGAGACTTTAGTGGACACTGCGCCAGTGCAACATTTCGTCTTCTATGCCATTGACTGGATGAAAGTGCTGGAGAGCGTCTATGCACCAATCTCCGTCTTGTTCCTATTGGCCATTTTGGCAGTGCCGAGCAAGCAACAAGACATCCATTTTCTGTCAAAACAGTGGTGGTCGAAATGGCTCAGTGTATCAGCGGGTGGCGTTACAAAAAGCACTTTGTATTATGCGACTGCTTGGATAGTACTAAAGGTTAGCAATGAACATTACATTATTATTTGTTGGTTTTCGTGTTCGACACGTGGTTTCTTAACGCTGGAGTTTACTTTCAGCTATCGGCAATTTACGCTTTGTGCATTAAAATTAATCCGTCGTTTTGGGAGGAATCTGGACGATTGGCCAATTTGTTCGTATGCTTTATCACTGAAATTCTCGTACTGGCCGCCAAATATGCATCTGTAAAATTGCTGGAGAAAGACAAGCAGATTTTTCACAATAATCCAAATTCAGGAAGTCGTACGTGGAACGTGACTTCAGCCAACCATACCATCGAGGAGATCGATATAACGAGCCATCGTGACAAGGTCATCGTGTATGTCGACCGCCTGAGGGAATTTGCAGCAATGTTTAACGACAGAAGCTGTCAACATGTCGTCATGCTAAAAGATGAATTTCTTTTCAAAACGGCAGTGCTAGGACAGTCCATCTTACGGTTTTCAACCAACAAATGGAACGGTATGCCGCTTTATTTGGGTCGCTGTGTATTTATCGTGCCGGTAATTGTTTGCATTAACGTTTTGTAGAATCTATGCAATTTGTGCCGATGGGAACAAAGCATGCATTGACGGACGCGGGAATAGCGAACCAACCGGGAAAAAGCGTTGTCATTCGTTACGGTAGCCAGATACTGGACGGACTAGCGTACTTGCATACCAAAGGAATCGTTCACGGCGCACTGGATCTGACAACAGTGTTCGTTAATGATGCTCACGAGATCAAAATTTTTGGGTACTTAGACAGTGTCCAGCGCAATATACTCGGAGTAACCTACAAAATGGATCCAGTTCTGTGGCAAGCCTTTATGTCACCGGAAAGCCTTCTCGATTTTAAACAGCCCGATGCCGCTGACCGGCAAGCCGTCCCCTGCAAAACCGATATGTGGAGCTTCGGGTGTATCATGGTTTATCTGTTGACAGACACATTCCGATACAGTTTCGACAGAAAACACAGCCGCCGAAACTTTCGGATCAAGTTCATAAAAAACGGCAAAGATTGTGTCGTTTGTAGCCCTGGAGGTGTTCCCGAGATTGTCATGGCAAAAGGTCATCTGGATTATGACGCTATTGACAGTCCACGCCTGCGCGAAATCCTAGATAAATGCTTCTCTTTTGATCCAGCTTATCGGAATGATGCTTCGACTGTCAGACAGTCTCCTTATTTCAGAGTTTCTGCGTTGTCTGGTCACACATAATATTTGTTTGCCTAGATTAAGTACAATAATTAGCGTACAGGGCCTACAGAAAGTTGTTGCTGTTTTCTTCTGCAAAGCGGGTCTGCCCGCACGCTTCCTAATAAAACTCCAGAAACAAAAATGACTGTATTACAATTTTTTTGTCGTAACGGAAGTTGAAACGCTTTCACAAGGCTACCCGAGTAGATGCCAAGAGGAGCAGCCGATTCCTGCATTTTTACTACTCGTACACTTGCAGATATGCAGTGAGGTGGTGGGCAACTACATTTGTTGTATTACATGTAGGTCATTAAGAGAGCAGTTCGTTCTCACGCAAACAAGGCAAAGTTTACGAGCAACAACAGGAATTCAACCTGACAGATAACCGTTAGTGTTGGCGTTCACGCAACGATTAAACCTACAATCGGCAAGATTACGTTAACTCACACTTTAAAACTGAGTGCAAAATTTGCACTGCAAATGCCTTGAATGGTCTGGTAATCAGAGCTGATTATCGATTGTTCTCGTTATTCTGCCTATCTTACTAATTTTACAGCTATCATCTAAAAGAAACACTGCACACCTTGCAGAACAAACGCTCTTTAGCTTTCGTAGCGACAGTCCATGCAATGACTGCTGCTGCTGGTTAAGGCCTTGGTTAAGCGTCCCCTTGGAGTGCCCGCTGCAACAACAGATTCCAGTTTTGTGTTTCGATTTTGTTCTATAGTTATGCCGTGTTATATTCCAGGTTTTGTACTGTTAGTCTGTTGACTGTTACAATATCAGTGTTAGGAATGTCAAAATCATACCAGTTTGCCGATGGACCGCGAACCTTCAACTACGACATTATCCGCCATATCGGGCGTGGTGGCGGTGGGACCGTATCGGAAGCGACAGAGATCATTGATGGGGAAGTGTCCAAGCGGCCGGTGGTGGTAAAAGAAAGTCTTTGCGCCAACACGAGTGACGAAGTACTGGAAACCATAGAGAAAAAACTGCGGCGTATTTGCCGGATTAAAAGCCCCAATGTTACCGAGTACTATCACGCTAAGGTGGATAAGTTCGTGTACGGTATAGAGACTTCTGTACAAACAGTGGTGGTGATGGAGTACTGCCCACGTAAGTCACTGGCAAACCAAAATAAACATACATACACTATGTGTATTAGTTGATACTTATCTGTACAGTTGGAGATTTGGAAACCTACGCCAAGCTAACCATGTTATCAAACAACGAGATCAAAGACATTATACGACAAATTTTAACCGGCCTAGTAGCCATTCACTCCCATAATGTGATCCATATGGATTTGAAGACGGCTAACATTGTCCTCGCTCACGATGACCGGCATTCACGATATGGCTTGGTGGCCAAAATAACCGACCTTGATGACCATTATGCCCTGCAAGCCAGTGTTACAAAAAGTAAGGAAGTGACCAGCAACCTAAAGGGCACGACGCACTTTATGTCGCCCGAAATGCTGGAGCTGGGAAAGGGTCAGTACCAGATCGGGAGGATGACCGACATGTGGAGTATGGGCTGCATAATCGTGGAACTGTACCGTAATAACCAACCCTTTCGCTTCGTCCAGACGATAAATGGAATGCCAAATCCCGCAACCGTTTTGCTGGTTGACGAAGTTAATCTACCGAGCGCCATCGAAAATTTTGTACGCAGTGGTGGAATCCCCGAGCTTCCCCTGGAAATACCAGATGTGGCTAGAACGATGATGGAGAAGTGTTTCGAAAGAGATCCGGCTAAACGGATGAGCCCAGTGGATATGTTGCATAGTGTGTGGTTCGAGAATGCAGATGCTCCGTATGTTCCAAAACCTGGTACCGTTAGAGGAGGTAAGCTAGTATTAGCAGATTTTATGCAAAGCAAGCGTAAAAAGATAAAACTTTTTTATCGATCTGCATAATCGAGGGTGTACTCGTACTCTGTATACTGTACATAAATCATATCAGTGGTACCGTTAGCATGTTAAAGTTTAAAAACACGTAATTATAAAGTGCACGCATCCCGAAGGTTTTCTTAGGGTTTCTTGAGTTTCTTCGATACTTGTACTGTTACTACACGTGAGAGTCTAATGAAGTGAAAAATGCGCACGTACATTACGCCAACCTTAAGCGTCAGTATCAGCATGACGACACAAACAATTGTTTTTTCGCTTACAGAAGTGAACGGGGGAAATGAATTTGACCTGAGGAATAAAGCCTTCATCCCCAAACCCAGTCGCGAGATGATATGGGACTGTGGCGTTAATTGTGCCGCGCGAGTGCTGATGCACCATACTCCCCACACGCATTTTCCCTACCATTGCTACGCCACCGAAGTGGCACAAGTGAAGAAGAACATCGACCCCGGTCAGCCAGTGGACGAGAAGTATCGTCGGTTACTTCTGAAATGGCTGCAGCAGAGTCAGGCACCGACAGCCATTCAGCAGAATCCCTGGGCGACGCTGGCTAATACCTTGGGGTCATTCCTTTTGTCCGTTGACTCACCGCGCCTGACAGCGCTGATCACGCTGATGCTGCCGACGATCGGACCGTCGTTTCCCGATGTGGCCAGATGGATGAACCGATACACGAAAGAGTACCAGTACGTGTGCAAAGGTCGCGCTACTTGGTCAGATATTAAGCAGCTGCTGGATCGTCATGAACCGGTTATCGCACAAATGTCGTTGGGTGATCTGGAGTTTAGCGATACGATCAGGCAGGCAGCCGCCCTGACCGGCTACCAAGCGATGTGCCCAACGACTTTCCCCAATTTCCATGCGGTCGTTCTGCGCGGGTACACAGGTGCGAAGCCTAACGGAGAACCCGATAGGTTGTGGATGACATATCCTGACGGAGAGAATACAGAGATGTCGTATGCGCGGTTTAAAAAGTGTGCTAACTGGGAATCTTCTCATCCGCTGACAAAAGAAGCATTCGATTTGTCTGGCTACGAACCGGGGCAGATTATCTATCGTGTTAAGAAGGGAGTTCTGATCGATGAGAAACCGGAATAGCAGTACGAGCTTATCCTGATAACGCTAATTATGAGAGGTCTTCATGCTCTTTAATTACATTAACCTACAGCGATAAGATAAGCAGTGACATTAAAAATCATAGTTCTGATTTGCGTTTGGTTGATCTTTACGCTTTACGCCTGAACCTTGAAGCAGATTGCCAGTACACCTAAGCTTTAATTGAATAGAACATTATTAACATGTTGTCTATCAGCTGTCGTGCACATAAACGACCCGCAAGAATTCATAATTATTCGTCTAACATGCAACCTATTATTTTACCTAGAGCATCATGCAACTGTGGTACGCCTTCGAGTAACTCAAGGCTCCCGGTAATCCGGTTTATGATTGGTATAGAAAAACATATTTCATCGGCAGAATTACATATAAAAAACGGCAGTATCAAGTGGCTAAGCACGCCACTGCCAAGGCCCGCCCTTAAACCACGGATCCTGCAGCAGCTCCACCGCTTTCGGCCTATCCATCCCAGATCGTTTAAAACATTGCTCCAGTTTAGTGAATCCTTTCAAAATTTCCGTCTGCGGAATATCCGGTACTCCGTTCTGCACGATGAAATCGCGCACCTGCATCGGCAGCGACCGCTGTTCAACAATCATATAATCCGTCCTCACTGGGCGTACCCCATCCATCTTGATTAATTTAAACGGCAAACTCCCCCGTCCTAATTCGACAACGATAACTCCCACACTCCAGATATCGGTTTTGCGTCCTACACGCAGTAAGTCATATTTGGCCTGGAGGATTTCCGGCGACTGATACCTTTCCGTTCCTCGGGTGTCCTTCACTTCGGAGCGGGTCATCGTGGCAATGATCGCGACGTGATCATCGATGTCGGCGATCTTGGTGACGATCACGCCATCCCTCACTGTTAAGAGAATGTTCGCCGGTTTTAAATCGGTGTGGGCGACCTTGTTCTCGTCGGCATGAAGATAACTCAGTCCTTGCAGGATATCGTGTACGCAGGATTTCACAGCGACAAGTGGCAGCGGAGGCGTCACGTTTTGCTGCCGCTTATTCGCCAAATATGCCTCCAGATTTCCCACTATGTGTACAAAGGTCACGGTTATCTTAGTTACGGTTATCTTGGTTATCTTAGACCGAATATGCTTTACACGTATTTATGTTTCGTTTATGGTGGCTTTTTCAGTAACATACTTTCGCAAAACTCCAGGATGAGTATTCCTTCTTTTTGAGTCGGTATGAACTCGTTATCGTGTTCCTTGGCATGGAAATAGCGAACTAAGTTGACATGATGGAATGTAAGCGCTTTCCTCCACTGCGCTACTAACTTGACAGCCACCTGGTTCTGCGTAGCGGGATCCGCGTTGTTCTGGAAAAAGACAATCCGTTTCAGAACGTATTTGTCGTTGGGATTGTCGTTCCTCGATGCCAGGTAGGCGGTTCCGAAAGCCCCACCTCCAAGTATCTTTTCCGGTGTGAAGACATTTCCGTCGAGAGTGTAATTGTCAGATACCTGGCGGCCCATTTCAGTACAGTGTACACAACGCAAATAATCCACTTTTGTAACGCGAACCTTCATCTACTTCGTGAAATACTGCTTAAGTTAGCGAACACTGCACACTGTTCGATAATTTCAGTATTTGGGGTGTTATCGCTTACACCCGTTTATCGGCTAATTTCTAGATACAGATACATTAGTATTGCATTATATAGTATATCTACATACAGCACTGCATATGTACATATTCGTTATCTGTGAATACTTCTATATTTTCTTCTGGGTTTGGGTACAGTCTGCGCAGTACCTGCTGCCTTCAAATAAATACATACTCACTAATTATGAAACCACCTTCAAAACATAATTGATTATCTGTTGCTTTTTATCTTGCGCGACGATGCCGCAGCGGCAAGTAATTAATTGGGGTGTGCTATAATTCAATGCACAAAGCGATTTTCATAAGTACAGCACTATAATTATGAATGAATCCCGGTTTATCAGCAACATGAACGCGATTATAAAATTTCACCAGTAATGTTACGAGTATTGCAGCAAGCCGATAAAGTTATTTAATTGTGTGGCAAAATATTGAAAACAGTTAATACACTTGTAATTTTTACGCTGTACAGAGTACTCGTACAGTCGTGCTACATCAGTAATTTTGCGTCGCACTGGTAGTTACAAGTTACAACGCATATGCCACCGCCACCAGAGCGGTGATTGCTGCATGTATAATTACAATGAATTTCCGGTAGAACGACTTTACGTTACCGTACCAGTGACGCGCCCCCACTATGTTCGTTCTGTTTATCGAACTGGCTTCGTTGCTTGGTAAACTAAAAATCCAAACAGCATAGTTTCCGTTCTATGTATTCTTTCCTATTTAGACAATTTAGTTTTCGAAACAGTGAAACTCCATTTTTGATCTCCTGGGCATAGTCAGCCATTTATTTTATAGATCTAGTTTAAAATATTTATTGAGCAGCTAACAGTATTTTACCTATCAGTCTACCGCAATACCGTATTTTACCAATCGGAATCTGCGTTTTCTCAAGCGATCTCATTGCGCGTAATATCACTGCCAAGTGTCAACATCACCTGATCTCTCACCGTGTGAAAACCCCATCGCTGCACGCATCACGTGCAACAGCAGCTTGTTGTGTAATAAGCGTTTCGTTACATCGTGGAGCGCAGGATGGAGGAGGAGAAGAACGCGGAGCGTCGCGAGCAATCCCGTGATCCGGTCCTGAACAGCGCCTTCCAGGGCTTATCCCTGCGCAACGAGGAGTTGGCGCGACAGGGCTCCTCCAGTACGGAGGAGAGCAGTGAGGAGGGTGAGGGTGGGGAGCTGCCCGACAACCTCCTGCAGTCCTTCTCCACGGGCGGGACGGATGATCTGGAGCTGCTGCAGAAGGAGTACGATATGCTGTCTAGCAGCAGTTTAGCCGAGACATCCGAGGAATTCTCAGCCGAAGGTGAGCTGTGGGTTTTTTCCCCGTGAATTTTCTGCCAGATTTATATCATTAATTTGTAAATTTCGCATACCTAGGTTATATAGCATTTATTAGAGATTCTTTCGTTTTATTTAGCGATTTCAGTTTTCGATTTGTTTTCTCGTTGTGAGTTGTGGGCACTGTTTTTTTCTGACTTGCCTGGGTCACCGTGTGGCGTTATTCGGTTATTTTTGGGGAATTTTTGCTTGTTTTTTTGTGTGAACGGTGTATTTTTTTATTTAATTTTTTTGCTGTTTTACGAATTTTGGCCAACACTGAACACGTTTTCTTGTTCGGCTGCTTTGAAAAAAAATAATCTAATATTCTAATTTAATACTATTTGTCCTGTTTTCTTAGCTTTGGAAATGAAAATGAGTAGAATTATTTCGTTAGCTGTAACCAGACCACTAAAAGTAAAAATCATTTGGCAAAAACTTATGGTGTCGTCACACGAATGTGATACTGTACTAAAAAGTTGAAAACTGAACTGCCGGGGCTCATTTAATTGACGTACGGACGGGCGCCCGTTTCTACGAACGCTCACCAGACCAGACTGGTGGCCCATCCACTACGCTACCGTTGTCATACTCGGTAACTCGGGACTGCACTGGTTTTGTACCGCAGTAATAGCCTCCTTGATTCGTTTATATTTCGTTTTTTACTATTGATTTTTACTAGCAAGAATATTAAGCAAATTGTTCAGGCAGGAATTAATAAAGTTTTTACAGTTCTACGTAATAATTTACGTAAAATTCGTAATTACATGGTAGTATTTGCAAAATTATAGTGGCAACTAGTAATGTAGAGGTATTGTGGTATTTCCGGTTGGAACATTGATAACAATTTCAATGTTAAAAATTTTAATCCTGTTCTTCCGCCTACATGTAGGCGGGTTAGCACTGTTATACAAGAACACAGAGGTTTATTAATTTTCTTCTGGCAACAGGGCTGGATGGGGAGATCCTGAACGGTGTGTACTTCGACAAGCTGGAGTTGGAGTTGAGCGCCATCGAGAACGCCATGTCGGACTTCGAGGGCCGTCTGGATACGCTGCGCGCCCAGGCCCAGGATCTCCTGCTGACCCTGCAGAAGGAGCGCTCGGCGTCCCGCGGAGAGTCCTGCGACGAGAAGATGGCGGACAGCGCGCCGTTGACGACGCCGCTGGTCGAGCAGGGACACGGCGATACTGCTTGAACGGCGTTCGGCCTTTCCGCCGAACAATGCCGGAGATTGACAGGATTGGCGTTGACATGACAGATTATATATCATTCCGATTAATATCACCCTCGAGGGCCGTTAATTAATGAGTGATGTGGTTGGTCGTTCGGTAACAGATTTTGCAACTTATCGGTGCATTCAGGTTGGCTTGTAAGGTCGTGTTTAATTCAAGTGCCGTTAGGTGGTTGTGCGTTGTATGATCTGGAAAAAATGCTGAATGATGCAGTAACTGACAGCTGCAGTGGGAATACCAACAGATTGGTGTGGTTAATAAAATTTGATTAAAATCCACAGATTCGATGTTGTACTGTGTTGTTCTGTTGCTTCCGGTGCGATACCAAAATCTGCATTCAGTCTGATGAAAAACTTGAAACTTAATTATTACTCACAAGCGGATTTTATTTAAATTATTATTTGGTAAGTGCTATCATGTATGATATTTATTTATTTTGGATAATGGTATTTCTGCATTTATGGTTTTTATTCATATTTATTAGTGCTGGGTTCTTAAAAAAATGTCATTTAATATCCGCACGACACCTGCTGTACAAACTGCCATCCTGGATCGTCCAGCATTACGATGGAGAAATAGAAAAATTTGGAGTCTCGAGATATTATCGTAGATCATCGTTTGCCTGGCGTTTCTACGCGTATACGGACTTACAATTGGGAAAGCCATTACACTACAGTGCATTCGTAACGCTAGAGTCGGCTAGACACTGATCGCATCGGTATATTTGTTAAACAGTTTCGCAAGCGCGGGCACACTACTTCACAGTTAAAATTTAACATTGAAAAAACAACCAAAATCTCTGTCCCCCCAGCGGGTCAATTTTCGGATAGTTTCGCTGCTTCACAATCAACCATTCCCCCAACCCACAAGCCAGAATCAGTTTTAATTTTATACAACCCCCCTCAAAAGTCACATTATGACATGGTCGAGAGTCGAGATAAACAACAAGAGTTCACTGCTTAATTGCGGAAACCGTGCGCCGTTTCGTCTCATCCAGTTGGCGGAGCACTTTATCCGGCTGCGTTTGCAGATAATCCTTCACCGCATCCAACAAGTCTTTTTTGATTTTATCCGGAACCGAAGCTACATGAGAAACATCGAATCATTGTAAGCCAGCGAGAATATCACGGTAATAAAACTATGGCATCCAAATTTTAAATCACGTGCATGCTTTTAAGAAAGCACGCCACATTTTCAGAAATCCACGCTTAGAGATTAGAAACAACCAATGAAAATGCATTATAAAAGATTTCCATCCCAAATGTGCATCTCAAGTTCCAAAAAATAACTGCTCCGGTGGCAAAAAAAACGCTCTCGCCAAAAAAAGCAGCGTAATAAGAAACGTACAACAAAAACTGGTGGCATAATAAAAACGTGGGAAAATTAAAATGAGTTTATTACGATAAAAGGACAATATCGCGCGGAACGCGATATACCAGTACGAAAATTCACTTACAACGGAGACCGTTCCCAATTTCTTCGATGAGATCCTTCGCCACTCGATCCGGTCGCAGCAGCTGCCCGCTCTGATAAGTGGCTAGTTTATCTGCCAAATAAAACATAATTTTAATGGTTGCAATCGAGAGAAAATAATACGCAGACGTTCCAACAATGTTGCAAGAGATCAGACAACATTCGGAGATTGCCCTCAGAATTTCAGAGCAATTTGCAACTTACTTTTAAATGCATCTTTGACTGTGGAATACCAAGCATGCTCTTCCAGACGCGATGACACCCAGTCAACCAATCTACAAAAACAACAGCAAAATCGTGACCACTATGCCGGCATGACTGTCAATCAAAAACACATATTTCCATCGAACCCGGGAGTTTGGATAATAAGACTCTAACAAAACGAAAACGCATCCAAAGCCGCCACAGAAATACTGAATAATAAAAACTAAAAATAAAAACCGAACGAATTACAATGGATATATTACAACTACTGAATATAATATTCTGTTCGTACTGCTTGCTGCTTATGATCGCTAAAATGCTTTCTACATTGGAATGTGCCACCTCACTACGTTTCGTCGACAATCGTCTCTCGCACGAATACATACGTCATACGTGCTGTTCCTTCTATTCAAGATAATAATTTATTATGTTAATTTATGTACACTTACCACACGTCCTAAGATCATGCGTGACACTAACGATTTTGGATGTTTTTTCAGTGTTTAAAAGTTTGATGCTTTTAATTAGCGTAAACCTGCGCAGGCGAATTTATTTATATAGCGATTTCGCTCTCATGATTCTTGAAGGCTACGCATTCGCGTATACATAATTATTAACATACATAATCATTCGCATATTCGCGTGAAACAGTAATTCTTTACATTAAAGAATAAAGTGAAACACTAATTTTCAAAAGAAGTAAAGAACCATATTATTAATTTACTCGTAAGGAACCCTATTACTTCGAAAAAATTATTTTTATCATCAAGGACCGTATCTTTCTCAAACTTTTGATAAAGCCAATAAAAGACTAGCAACGACAGTAAGGAAATTAATTAAAACGCAGGGCATTCCACTGATTCCAGGCTAAAATGCAATACTGACTGTTTCTCCTTGTCGCTGACGGGTATCTGCTGTGCTTCCTTATCGGGCGATGCCTCTTTGCGGGAGGAAGGACGGTGTTCCTTTTTGTGGTGTTTAGCATGCGCGGCGTGCTCGTCGTGGTCGTCATCGTCGTCGCGTTCGCGTTCGGCGGAGCTGTCGCGGGAACCGTGGCGCTTGCGTGATCGCGAGGGACTGCTGTCGGGCGCGTTCGTCTCCGTCAGAGAATGCCGTTTGGCAGACATCATATCGACAATTCCTACTTCATCGATCCCAATCCAGCTGGCACAATTCGGGGGCGCTCAGGGCTTCCCAGACAAACGCTCCGAAGCGAGATATAAATTAACAAAAAGCAGTTTAAATCCAAATGACAAAATATCCAATGGCTTCACAGTTCTGCAGAGACGCTAGCTACCCTGTAACCATCATGCAATTATAAATTCTGCATCGTAAAAATTAAAATGGAATAAAAAAAACTACACGTAGGTATATCAGAACACCAAAAAACAAATGTTTATTAGTTTATAAATCATTTATCTGGTTTTCTGTTTTCGAGCAGGAGTTTCGAAATTTTGAGCTTTTAGTTTTGCCGTTTGTTTCAAGTTTCGTCTTCCGGTTTGTCAACTGCTGCTCGGCGGCTCACCATATCTACAGTAATACTTAGCTCGACCGCCCGCGGATACCGTCAGACAGGGACAGCCGCCCGTCACTCCGCTCACATCGCGAATGAATGGGCAAAATTTCATGACTTGTTTTCATGTTTTGCAAACAATCTTACAAACGCATCTGCAGCGATTACGTCAAAACGGGATGATCAGTCAGTCGTCTTATTCATCACAGTTAAGCGCCTTTAAATTAAAAGAAAAGAAATTTCTGGATTCCCGACTTTTTCCTAAAAACCAGTAGAAACGTTGTGCCAATCACGACAGGAGTGTCTTAGCCGTTCTGTGATACCAGATTCGGGGAAAAGTAGTATGTATTTTAATTTTTTTGAGGGACCCTACCTCGATCGTTCCTTGATAATTTTATTGGGATTTTATCGCTCTGTCTGATGGACTCATTGTGATGCTGTGATTATCCGCTACCTCCGGAAAATTTATCGCCGTGATATGTGTATGTTTTGACTGTGATATTTTCGATGGAGCGAACGACGGTGTTGGCGTGGGGTAACAATCAGGAGGGCCAGCTGGGACTGGGCGCCTCCACCGAGGTGGACGACAATGGGCCGCGCGTGCTGGACTGCTTCCAGCGGCAGAATCTACAGGTCAGCCAGATCGCCTGCGGCCAGAAGCACACGCTGTTCGTGCTGGTGGACGGCAGTGTGTGGTCGTGCGGGACGAACGAGCACGGCCAGCTGGGACGCGAGTACAACGGGGGAACGCTCAAGAAACCTGGTAAGACTGATCCGTTCTCTGCAGGGATGTTATTTACGTTGTTGCTTTGTTGTCCATTAATTTAAACGATTTTTTTACCTGTGATAACAAGAATCGCGAGGAGTACAGTCTGTACTTCCCATTTCCCAGTACAATAATTATAATTTCAACAACGGTGGAAAATTGGTTAAACCGTAGAAATTAAAATAATAGTTTGCTGTGATTATTGTACAGTTATTTTTTAAAAATTCACCACGTTACCACGTTTTTAAAAAATTTACCATTTTTTAAAAATTTACCATTTAACGCTTTCCAGAATCTGTGAAATTGTTGCTGATAGCAGTCTGATAAGCGTAAATATTTTAATTCAGAATTAGTACTGAAATCGAAAACAGTAAAATGTGAAATATTGAATTTTCTTTTTTGTTTTATTTTAAATTCCTCATGGAAATTTGTGCGTTTCTGGCTGTTTTCAGTTGTACTGGGTTAGTACGTGATTAATTGCGGTTTGAAAGATTAAAATCATGATGCACCATCCAATCCGCTTTTTTCTTTGGCCTTTTAGCCAAGCGGTGGATGATTCTCTTTTTCAATTTTCTAGGTCAGATTGAGAATCTGAAGCATCACAACATTGTACAGGCAGCGGCGGGCGTGGGCCATTCGTTGGCCCTGAGCGACGGCGGCCAGATCTTCAGCTGGGGCTGGAACGCTTCCGGTCAGTGTGGCCGCGACAGTGATCCCGACGCACTACGCACTCCCAAGTGAGTTTGGTACACTGAATGTTAATCCTTCACGGACTTGTATATGTGTGGCTCATTCCGGCTAATTGTGAAAAATTGTGTCGTTCATTTTGCTTGATTGTATCGGGCTTTTATTGGATTCAGTTTTGTTTAATTGAAGTTGCAGTTTGTGCTTTGTTATTTATTGCTCGGGTAGCGTCGATTTATGCGTATAGACCGGATGATTAATTTTCTGAGTGTTTTCTCGCAGATTGATACGGTATCTGGCCCATGAATACATCGTGCAAATTTGCTGCGGAGACGAATTTTCCATGGCACTGGATGATGGTACAAACTACGTTTGTACTAATGATGAGACAAACTACGTTTGTCTATAAAAAATTCGAACATCCACCGCGTTTTTTGTTATCGAACCTTCGTTTTGCAGCGGGAAATATCTACGTTTGGGGGAAGAATGTCTTTGGTGAGAGACTAATAATTATAGGAGCATATCCATATCCATTATATACATAATTATTTATTAATTAGGTACATTGTTTTGTAGCTGCGATTGTCACATTATTTTGATGCTTCAGAATGTTGCTTTTTGTCTTTTGATAAGCTATTCAGTTTTGCGTTAGTTACAAGCTGTTATTTTCGCCGTTTTTTCAATGGTTGATGAAATTTCTTGTACCGATGATTTTTATTCATCTTTTTTGTATCGATAATGGATATATTTTGGCCACGTCGATGCTGTCACTTTCGGCTCATTGGGATTTCTTTTTCTTTTAAAACCGCGAGGAATCAAAAAGGATAAATGAAATCTAATTTGGTCAACGATAAATTTGATTTAACAAAATAAGCCCTATTTACACTGTAAGAAAAACTTTGAGATGCGGTGCATTTATTGGTGCTGACGTTTTCCCCACTTCTCTGTCGTACGAGTAGGTCAACTAGGCATTGGACATAAGGACAGCGTAACAACACCACAGACCATGAAATCCCTGGTCGGTCTGCCGATACAGCAGATCTCCGCCGGTGCCTCCCATGCCGTCGTCCTATCGAAATCCGGCTCGGCATACTCCACGGGGAAAAACGATTTTGGACAGCTGGGCATCGGCGATCAGCATGGTAAGCGGCATTATTATTCAGCGAAACTGAACGGAAGTTAATGGTGTCTGTCTCTAATATCTGACAAAGCGACATCTGACGCGCGCTTGTCGATTTAATGTAGGAAATGTGTATGACTGTACTGTATGTTAGTGTGATCTACGGTATCGCTGTGGAGTTGAATCGTAGTGTGCTGGCTTAATAGTGGGTTGGCGGTTAATGCCGTAACAGCGGCAGTAGCAAGGACGACTGTAATTCGGTTAGATTTGTTGAACGTAAAACATTTTTTGCATTTTTCTGTGACCGTCTTGGCATTGAGTAGATTTTTGACATCCGGATGTGAACTTGCGTATTTTTCGAAATGCGGCTAGAAAGCGAACTCACTGTATGGTAGAATCTTGGGGTTTGCTTTTCTCGGTTTGTTGCTTAGTACTGTAGGTACAGTATGTTGTCGAAAGCTGGTTGGTTGCACTAGCGTTTGTGTGTTTTCAGATCGGAACAATTATTCGCAAATTAAGTCATTCAAGAATCAGCGCGTCTGCTATCTGGCTTGCGGTGAAGAGCATTCTGTGGCGCTGACAGCCGATGGAGGTTGGTTATCTTGCCGACTGTATTATTTTTATTTAAAGTGTCCGCAAAAAATACAAGCTTATTTTGTATTTTGTAAATAAAATTTGGTAGTAGCAGTTAGCGAATAAGTAAATTTATACGAGTATCTAATTTATTTCGTGATGCACCAAACCAATTTAATTCATTGTCTTTTTTGGTGTTTTTTTTTCGCCTTTACGTTTTCAACACGTTTGGTATTTGGCACTTTGCTGGATACAATTGGGCAACGAATGCGTTGGATTAATTCGCGTATTATTGGAAGTAAGGTTAACAGCCGTACAATTTAGAACCGCTGTGTCATGCAGGTGTGTTTACCTTTGGCGCCGGCGGTCACGGGCAGTTGGGCCACGGACCCACGCACAGCGAGGTCAATCCGCGCAAAGTCTTCGAGCTGATGGGCAGTAACGTCACGCAGATCTGCGTTGGCAGGTACGTTGGTCGCATTAAATTGTGGAACGAATGGGTTGATTTCCTGTCGCCTTTCCAAGTTAAGGTTGCTTTGTCTGCGGAGAATTCAGCGGTTGATGTAATAGCTGAGTGAATGGGGTTTTCCCCGGAAACCGCATAATTTGGAAATTTTTTTGCGAATGTACTTGGGAGAGGCTGATAGCGTGCCGTCGGGCTGATTATGTTCGCGTTATTTAATCCCCTTGTCATGCACAAATTAATTGCTAAATCGTCAGGTTGTTTCAGGGACTTTTCGTAGTACAGTGTCAACTGCGTGCAATTACCCTAAGATCGTTTGGCCTTAAACTCTGCTTTAAGAATGTTCAAGTTAAGAACACCATTTCAGATCTCAACGACGGGATAATTGTGTTTTTTGTCAAAATAATCAGCATCTGCTCATCTGCCACTGGGACGTGGTAGCGCCTTTCATGATTTTTTAAAAATCCGTCACTATGGGAATTTTTTTAGTGCAGTGTCACCTATGCCCACAAGGAAATTACTGTACTCGTACTATAGCCCAGTTCTAGTGTCTGGTAGTGCACTAATCTTATTTATGATATGTACATCCAGTTAACTAGATTTCTCTAGATTTCTGGAGCATTGAGTTAACTAGATTTCTGGAGCATTGAGTTTTTTTATTGAATCTGTGACTGTAGATTCCACACGATGACGTACGTGGCGGCCACCGGCAAGATCTTCGTATTCGGGAAAGGCGGTTCCGGCCAATTAGGCATGGGCACTGGCAGTCGCGTCAACCACCAGCACCCAGTCATCTGCCACGGCGCCTTCGACCTGATGCGCAATTCGGGATTAACGTTACATGAACTCTTCGCCGGTGGCGACCAGTCCTTCGCCAGCGTCACCATGGGCACCGCGCCCCTCCCGCCCGTCGACTTCCGCGAGGAGCGTCCGCCGCGCGGTCTATTAGTCTTGACGGAGACGGTGGTGGAGCGGCTGGTGAAAGCGTTGAGCTTGTTATCCGGCGAGGACGAGATGCTGGAGGAGACGGAGCAGCGCGAGTTGGAGGTGATGTGCGGCAGTGTGGCGGCCTGGAACGGGGCCTTCCTCGGTCCGGGGGAGGAGCACTACTTTTTATCTAGTAAAAACTGCGGCGTGGCGATGAGCGTGGCGGAGAGAGCGTTGGAGGAGCTGGCCGCCGCCATGAAACCGGTGGGTGGGGGTGGTATGCGCCACTTTGACTGAGGAAATTATTTATTCATGGACGAATCTTAATTTACAGTTTACCAGATTTAAATGGATTTACAGTTTTTTAATTATTGTACTAAATTAATTGTACTGAAGTGCTTCGCTGAATTTATTTATTTACGGAAAATGTAGATTTTAGTTTCACTGGTATCTGCAAGTTTCCGCTGCGAGATGGTTGAAATGCATGCTTGGAGAAAGCTTTTTTTTATATCGATGGCGAACGTAGTGGAGGGGCTGTCTCGATACTTTGAGCGAGATTCAGTTACTGATAATGATACAAACTTGTGAAATAATTGCATGGCTTTCTTTTTTGAAAAGCGAGTATTCTTTAAATTTTGTTGTTGCAAGTGGGAACATGGAACGCGATTCCCTAATAAACCGAATTTGATGTGGGGAATGAGCTTGAGTGGCGCATTTGGCGGTCGATGCTTCTGTTTCTGTTTGTAGATTGTGCGCGACAGTATTATGGACAAGATCCGCAGTAAAGTCCTGCCAAACTTGTCGACTAATCCGGCCAACATGGAGTGCCTGCGCGTGTTCCTTTTGCTGCCGCTCTTCCCCGTCTTCACGGCCTCCCTCAGCGTCGACCGTGTCCTGGAGTACATCGTCCCCTTTGCCCATGCCCTCGCCAGTCTCGGCGACATACCCAAAGGCGTCGTGCGTTCCTGGATGTCCATTGTTCCGCTAGGAATTTTCGAAAAATACGTCCAGGTAAGGCACTGCTTTCCTTTTCTGTGTTGGCAGGATTTTCAGCGGTTCTTGCAAAAGGAGACACTCAACAGGTTTTCTGCCTGACTGATGCTTCAAGTTGACCGCGAAGTGGTTGTACACAAATAAATTTTTTCGGTTAATCAATAGCGGGCTAGGTTTTTTTTCGTAAAATTTGAAATGTGCAATGTGAGAAACGAGTTCTCCTGGAAGATACGGTGGATTAGAGACGAAAAATATAAAAAGTGATTTTTTAGTAACTTTTCTTTTGTTCTGTGGGTGCAGTTTGTAGTACTCTGTAGATGCAAAGAATTGCGTTCAAGTATGTATCCACCGCTCTACGCTGTTCTTACTGGATGGAAAAATCGTAAAAGTGCTGTTTATTGCGAACCGGGTAGTAGCCCTATTCAGAGCTTGTTATCCATCAAAATGCGGCTGGATTTTTTATGAACACCCGTGTTGGCTGGTTGTTTGTAGTTGTACAAAGACAGTGTAGTGGTGATCTTGCTGATGCCGAAAGTGGGCGAGTTGATCCAGAAGGAGCGCTACTGGCGGGGCATGCACAGTCTTCTCGACGCCTTGACGGTGCTGTACGAAGCCAATAATCGTCTGCGAGCCGTCAACGAGTTCGGCGCGCTGATGTACGAGAAATTCTACATACCGGAGATCACGGATAAGGTCAACATCATGATGGACTACAAGAACTGGTACCATGCCGATCAACGAACACGGGTGAGGATGGTTTGGATACAGGCCTTCGGCGGTTGCTGAATTACAAATAAATACCAATTTTTATTCATTTAAAAAAAATAATTTTATTTAATTACCGTGTGCTAAATTAACGCATCAGTCAATAATATTTGGAAATTTTTGTTCGTTTATTCCAGTCGTGCCTATCGATAAAAAATTTAATAAACTGCAATAAAAACTTACTAAAATTGCTGGCTTTTATATTAGTATAAGGCATAGATCATTACGATAAAACTCGACGGAGAAAGAATTTCTCTGCTAGTGTATCTTCGTCGCAGAGAACATATTAAGCCATTCTTTATCTTCCTTTGTTGTTGTTTTTCAGTTAATGACACTATCGTTTTGTAATTACGCCTTCACTTTTGATCCGCAAGCCAAAACGATGCTGCTGCAGGCTGATTCCATGCTGCAGATGGAGGTGAGCAATTTTTGTGGAATTGGCGAGAAGTGTGCGGTTTATCGGGGTTGTTTTTTACAGGAAGCGGTGAACTCGATGAACCATTCGGATTTCATGATGAACTTCATCCGGGCGGCGGCGCAGGGCACCAGCGGCGCGGCCATGCATCCGCAACAGGTGGTCTTTCTCAATCTGTACGTCTCCCGCAATGATTTGCTCAAGGACACGCTGGACCAGATCTGGAGTTTCAAAGGTGTGTTAATGCAGTTTGCTGTAGCGTGGTTGCATTTGACAAAAGCGGTTTCGTTAATGAATTTGTTTTTGTGCTGATATCAGGTGAATTTGACTTTAAACCGATTTTATTAATTAGGTTGTTCTGTTTTTAGAACGAGGCGACCTGAAACGTCCGCTGAAGGTGTGGTTTACCGGTGAAGACGCGGAGGATGCCGGCGGTGTTAAAAAGGTGCGAATTTCTGCCTGATTTACAAACGTTTTGCGTTTTTATCATATTTCACCCACTTTTAACCATTAATGGGTTATTGCGCTGTTTTTGAACCATATAGAAAACATAAGGATGTATTTTGTTATGTATTGGCGAATCGATGTACCTTGCGAACATTTTTACATTATTTTTATGGCCTTGTACTAGTGAATGACGATTTTTAACGAGGATATAGCTGCATAAAAATGTATTTTAATTTCGAATTTATTGCGTGGTTGTTACTCGTGTAATATTCCGCATAACATTTTTTGTTCACCGCGCATTGGACGTATGATTTACTACGCTGTCCTGATATTTCATTGACAATCTTTACAGGAATTTTTTATGCTTCTGATGCGCGAATTGCTCGACCCGAAATACGGCATGTTCACCTACTACGAAGAGTCACGGAGTATTTACTTCAACGGCAACAGTTTCGAGAGCAAAGATCGCTTTTATATGGTCGGCATTATTTGCGGATTGGCCATTTATAACGGTATGTTCTTCCGATATGGGAATGTTGTAGTATAAAGGCACGCTAGTAACTTATTGGATCTTTCTTACGATTGTGCAGTCGCATTGATTTCCGGCTGTTAAAAATCACTGCCTGCCGCGAAATAAGAATTCAATTTTTTGTACAACTCGAACAGCAGTACTGCAGCAGTAAAGGTTTAACGATTAATTTGCAGCGACGATTGTGGATGTGAATTTCCCGCTGGTGCTGTATAAGAAGCTACTGAATATTAAGCCTATTCTGCAGGATCTCGACGGCCTCATGCCCACTGTGCGCCGGTAAGGCTAATAAGCGATATTAATGTTTAGTTTATGTAATGTTAGGATTTGTGGTTTCTTTAAAATTCTTCAGTACGAGGACAGAAAATTTGTTTTGTGATATTTCACTGCCGTATTGGCTGTCGGGCGTTGCTAGCTTTTGAAACGCGTCTTCGGTGAGATTACGGAACTCGTTGACCGTTGTGTACCCACATTTTTGTTGATACCGTAGTGTTGTGGCAAACCCCAAGACTTGCGTGATTTCATCCATGTGTTCTTATTTATCTGAATTTCGCTATGGGTTAGGTGGTTTGTTTTTTAAGTGCAGTAAAACGTTAGAATGCAGGTATCTGTAATTTGTATATGTTGAGGAAATTGAATTTGATGTGAGATGATGGTTGGCTTGTATAACGACTAAGGCGCCATATGGCAGTCGGCTGTTCGGTTTTGTTTCCGAGTTTTCTATGTTTCTTTCTCAATGCCGTCAAGTACCGATGTCGTTGATATATATTGGAACAGCTGAACTGCAGACGAAGGCAACGGTGGGAAGAGATCTTCGCGTTGAACTTCACCATCTCTCAGGAATCCTTCGGGGAGACGGCGATCGTGCCGCTGAAGCCGAACGGGGAGGATATTGCCGTTACAAAGGACAACCGGCAGGAGTATGTGGATTTGTACGTGGATTATGTGCTGAACAAAGCCGTGGAGGGACAATTCGCGGCGTTCTACGAAGGGTTTCATCGCGTCTGCGGTGGAAGATCCTCGAGTTGTTCCATCCACAGGAGCTCATGGCCATGGTGTGCGGCAATGAGAATTACGACTGGAAAGAACTACAGGAGGTAACCAAACGTGCCCCGTTGACCGTTGTATGAATCAACTAATACTAAAAATTCTCCTGCAACTCGTTTTATTAACGATGAGCGGTAATGTTGGGTTTTGGAGGCTTATGGGATCTTCTTGTAATACATGAGTTGGAAAAATATTTAGAAAATTATAATTATTTGGTTCGTAAGTTGGTTCGTAAGTAGTAAGTACATAGTAGTGCATCGCTACACGCCACTATTGGATTTGGAATTTAGATGTTGCGATTTCCATTTCTGCATGCTTGTTTTCGAATGCCGAATAGTTTTCGTCAGTATACAAGCTTGGCGCGCTTTTATTAACGTGCCATTAGGGTAAATATCGTAGTGTAGCGGTCAAACATCGAGCTTCCTTGGGATCTGAAGATATTTGATCGTACGCTAAACAGCGGTTAACAGGGTTTACCAAAATAAAAACACCGACCGGATTAGCTTTTTTTAAAAGCATGTTGACGCATGTTTTATTATCTTGCATTGAATAACCGTTGGTGTGCGTGGTTGACCGTGGTTTCTCGGTGTTGTGCAGGCTGCCGTGTACAAAGGTGACTTCACCGCCGAACACCCGACCATCAAGATGTTCTGGCGCGTCTTCCATTCGTTGGAGCTGGAGCAGAAGAAAAAGTTCCTCTTGTTCCTCACCGGCTGTGATCGCATACCCATCTTGGGAATGAAAGCCGTCCGCGTACGTCAATTGCTTACGTAATTCGAATAGGAAGAATGTTTGATTTTTCCTTTTAGTGTGTTTTTCGTATGTAGTTGTAGTATTTTTAGCAAATTTTCCTTGTTAATATTGAACTTCTGGCTTTTTTGCTTAGATCATCATCCAGCCGGCGGGGGGCGGGGAGAATTACCTGCCGGTAGCGCACACCTGCTTCAACATCCTCGATCTGCCCAAGTACACCAGTGAGCGGGCGTTGCGGGACAAACTGCTGCTGGCCATGCAGCAGACGCAGGGATTCGCCTTGGCTTAGACTGTTGATCGGAATGAGTGATAAAAAAGCCGGATTACTTTTCTATGATAAGAAAACTTTTACCTAGTTTTACAGATTTCTGTTTCTTTGACCCGTTTGTTTGTACCGATAGTTATTTACCGGCCCACTTGGACAGGCTGAACCTTTTTTGAGGGTGCAAATTTATGTGTTCTTTCTTCGTGATTCGGTGATGTGGAATTGTCCTATCGTAAAGGGATATAATAAAAGAATTTTGTAGAAAACAAAATGTAAAATTAACGAATGCAAGAAATGGCCGAGAAAATATATGTGGTGAGCACAACAAAATAAAAACGGCAAGAAATTAAGCGAACAGGTCAAAGTAAGTGAAACCGTCCTTATCGAAACATGCGTGTGGCAGTTGGAGACTCTTGACTTACGCTGGTGCGAAGTATAAAATCAATGCTGTTTAAAGTGTTAACTGCACTGTGCAGTTAACAGGAGCATCTGAACAAGCTCGCTAGCGAACTGCATCATAAATCAAAGACTGATAGCATGGCTGTTCGAAATCACTAAAATCCCAGCGTGACTTATAACAATCATCAAATTTTGGTATACACTGTTTTTTTTTTGTCTGCAGTGGATGAACAATGCGGTGATAATCGTGAGATTCTGTTTTCTGCCAGTACATAAATCACCGCTAAACTATTAACAACAATAATTGTTAGTTCCAGTTTTGTCAGCCTGTACGACAGTACGAGTACTTTAAATTGTACATGCGGTTACTGTACCAGTTACATAAGCAGTTTGTACAGCCGTGTTTATAAAGCCGATAACCGTCCGTCTAGCGTTATCAGTAATTTCAGCTGATGAGAAGGAATTTCACGACCATGAGACTTATTAATTTTTAATTGCAAAGTGTGCGAAAATGGAGCAGGCGAACAGCTGTTGCTGCCGTGTACCAGACCTGTTTCTTATTACTGCCCATATTATGATTTACCGGCTACTGCACAGTATACAATACTGTACGATACATACTGTAGCCTGTAGATAAGTATGTACAGTAATGCACGAGAAATCATTCAGGTGTACAGTACTCTGTACTCGTATCGATTGTCGACGATTGACATGTGCCTTTTCTCTTTGCAGTCAGTTCAGTTAAGTAAGTACTCGACTAACTGTGTAGTAAAATTTAATAAAGTTTTGTTGTCATGATCCATTTTGATTCCCATGACATCTGATAGCAGAACCCCAGCCACAACGGTCAAGATTACCGAGCACCATTCACCAGCAACATCTACGTAGAACTCCAGCTGTACTGCATAACAAGACTCAAAGGAGTTATTACGACCACGATCGCTAGCAAATTTTATGGTGCTTCTTTAGGTTTGCATGGAAGAGCATTCCCTGCGATTTCAGAACTCTTCAACCCGCCCGTAATAATTTTTTTCTACGCAAGTAATTAACATCTCCGTTGGTCCAACCGGAGGATTATGAAGTTGGTTGTTAGCCGTGGAAAAGCGTTAACTCGTATTCTGCGAACGGATGAAGAGCCTTTAGGAAAACATCGCATAGGGATATTTATTGACACACATTTGGACGGTACGTGTACAATGTCTTCCCCACTTGATCCCCTTCCTATGGAGCTCCTTCCTTGTGTCATTGTCATCATGGGCGTCTCCGGCTCCGGCAAATCCACTATCGCCTCCGCCCTAGCGAATCGTCTACAGTGGCCGTTCCAAGAAGGCGATGATCTCCATTCACCTGCCAACCACGCCAAAATGCAGTCCGGTACCCCCCTGACGGACGCGGACCGCCTTCCCTGGCTGCAGAAAATCGCCGAGTGGATCGATACCCATCCGTACGGTGTCGTCACATGCTCGGCGTTGAAGCGGTCCTACCGGGAGCTGATTGTGGGAGAACGAAAGAATGTGCGGCTGGTGTATTTGCAGGCGGAGAGGCAGTTGCTGGAAGGACGGATGGGCAGGAGGAAGGGGCATTTCATGCCGGCCAGGTTGCTGGATAGTCAGTTGGCGACACTGGAGGAGCCGGGTGCCGATGAGGGCGCAGTGGTGGTGAGGGTGGATGATGGGCCGGTGGAGCAAACGGTTGATGAGATTGTCCGTAAACTGAAAGAGCCTGCAGTACCTTGTTCGTAGTTTTTTTTGTACTTTGCTCCACCTTGGACGTCTGAAATTTCGCTGCCTTATTTGTATGCGCACATTAGAATGGGGAATTCGTTAACGGATTTACAAATAGATTGTAAAGTGCAAACTCTGGGCGAAAACGACATATACGAGTAGAGACGTACGACTTCGTACAGTAGATACGTACGACTTTACACGTTAAATCTTTGAGGCATGTTTGCTTAATTATATCCGCAGTATCCTTCCTTACCACAAGGTATCCTTCGCGTATCCGGCATCCCCCATGTACTCACGATTTCCATTTGTTCGCTGCCGTATTCTAATGCTTCTGTACAGTATCTTTTACGTGTCCCATATGTATTCCACTAAGAAGAACTGCGTAGTACTTTGTAAGAAAAACTAAGAAAACCTAAGAAATTGGCAGGACATATAAAGTGTACAGGAAGGATACTGTGGCTTAGAAAATCTACTCGCAAGGAAACGAGGAAAACGTCGGAAACTAAAAAGAACGACCACAATAACAATGTAAGTACCAGGATAGCAAGAGATGTTTACATGTGTACCACCTTTGAAAGCAACAGAATCACATCGTTTTCTCACATTTCACAGTATCTTTGACATATCCTCCATGTATCCTGCTATATATAGCTTTGAAGTCACAATTAACTGCAGTCTGCAGCATCCCAACGCATCTAAACGTATTCCTACCGTATCCGTGTCTTTCAAGCATCCGGATAATTTTACAGGGGGGAAATAAAGGATACTGCGGAATGGATACCAATACAACATGGATGCAATCATACAAAACAAAAAACATGCCCTGAAAAACTTCACGTGTACGAACCGTGCCACATCGAAAATATTTTATACTTCTGAAGTACATAAATTATTTTGGCTGCAAGACTGTGAAGTGACCTTTTGTTGAGTCGTTAGCTTGAATTGCGCAGCTATAAAGCTTACCAAAGTAAGTGGTGTGATTTTAATATTCAAGATAGTCAGACTTTACTGCTGACAGGCAGAGTGACAGCTGCACAATTAATTAGACAACTATAGTAGAGACGCCCTAAGGGCAAGCGGACGGTCGTTCTCGGTTTTTACATCGCATTATTTTTGCAAACATCGTGTTTAGAGTCCTTATTCTCCGTACTAGTGCTGTCAGAATATACAGCCTTGAATCAGGATGCGAAATACATGTATAGATAAGAACGATAATGGTAAAAGTAAGTAAAACTGCGAGCGCTTGTGAACTACTTGATAATTATTAAAATTTTAACAATAACAAATAACCAACGTCTTCTATCTTCGGGGCCAGTGGGGGTAAAAGTAACATAACAAAGCAGCTGTGGCATTGCAGCATTTGCTTTAATAACAGCTACTGTCAGCTAGAGTAGAGGAGAATATAACGCTACTTATGAAAAGCAGAAAAACACTCGTTTCCAGTTAACGCTCGAATTTAACGACGAATGGAAAGCCGAGCCGAGTCAGTAACTTCCAACTTTTCAACCATGCAGTATGGAAAGGTATCCACTTTTCAAAAATGCATACTTCCGAATTGGAAATTCCGCCAGTCCCGTTTCCATATTGTGAGCGTCCGATGGCGCGACGGCTCGCAACCGCACACCAACTCGTAGCATTCAAAATACCGGTTTTTCTCGGCGAAAAGAATTTTTTTAAAAAACAGGTGCTAGCGCACTTTGGCCATTAATTCCAGCCGCATAAATTGCTGCTCCACGAGCCACCGATTCAGCAGGGTATATTTCTTGCAAAATAGGTTTGCCCGGGAAAAAGCACTTGAGCAGTGCTTTGATTTTAGGAATTACGCTTGATCCACCCACCAACACGATATTGTCGATACTGGAAGCAGCGTCACCGGATTTCGCTAGTGCGGCTCCCACTGCCGAAATAATGCGGTCAAAAATGTTTCGACAGATGTGGTCGAAATCTGCGCGGTGTACGTTTCGTTGGTATAACTGATTTCCATGAAATTTGGGTACCTGGATCAAGTATTCCTCACGAAAGCTTAAAGTTCTTTTACATAATTGAACAGCCCTGTTTAATTGTAGGACAGAATCTGATTGCAGGTCCGTTTTCTGAAGGTGGTTATTCCCGGTGAATTCTGTTAACAAAAACTCCGCTAGGGCATCATTGAATTTTTGACCTCCGAGTTGCGGATCCGTGTACGCACTCAGTATTCTAAACTCCATGCTCGGCGCGGCAGACAAAATGGATATGTCCAGTGTACTGCTGCCCAAATCAAAAACCAATATTTTCTGTCCAACTGGATAAGTTATCGACATCGCCATCGCGCACGCAGTAGCGGCTGCTACCGGTTCGCTAATTATCCGCGTGACATTCCATTCTGCACCTTTCGCGGCATCAACCATTGCCTGGCGCTGATAGTCGGTAAAATAAGCCGGCACAGTTAAAACTGTGTCAAATACCTCCGAGTGCAGAAAGTCTTTGGCGGCGTTTTTCAAATATTTTAAGAGAATTTCTATTATTTTCTCCGGTGTGACTAACGTCGTACTGCCAGCATCAACTATACGTATGCAGGGCTTGCCATTGTCATCGACCACAGTAAAGCGCCATCTAAGCATATCAGACTGCACCAGCGGGTCGTGGAAGCTGCGCCCCAGTATGCGCTTTACGCCATCCACAGTGTTATCTGGATAGATGCGTCGGTGTTCGGTAGCCGCCGTGCCTACCAGGTTATCTTCTCCGTCAAATCTTACGGCGCTCCGTGTTAACCGCTGTCCACGGTCGTTCTCAATGACCTCCACGCATCCATTTCCCTCCCGATAAACCGCTATACAACTGTACGTCGCGCCCATGCTGATGCCTACGGGAAGCCGCTTCGGCAGACTAGGATTTGTAAGATCGTATGACGCGCGACAACCCACGCCGTTAATACGAAAATTGGCACAGTGTTTTTCCCATGCGCTTTGAAAGGCAACCTGATTGTCGTAGTTGTACAAGTGTTGGATAGCAAAAAAGTGTTCCTGTAACTGTTTGGTAAGGTCACCCGCTGAAATTCTCTCATGGATGGGCGTGAGACAGCGCCGTATACAGGCACTTAAAGTATCCCGGTTACAGGGTGGATCTGCACACTGTACAAATGGTATCCATCCATTCACTATCAGTCCTGCAAATACCACGCCCGACATTTTAGCTGGAATGTCCATGACCTCCTCAGTGCTGCTGATTAACCGGTCTTGGAGAGCAGCACTGCAGTTTAGTAGTTCGGTTATAATGCAACCGAGACTCCAGATATCCGTTTTTCTTCCAATGACTTCGCCATCATCTCTCAGGCCAAGATGTTTTCTCAGCATTTCAGGCGACATATACCGGACAGTGCCGATTCCGTGTGTGATATCCTGAGAAACAGTTGCGTTTTGTCGCATTTGCACACAGCTGTCAAGATCACATATTTTGACGATTTCCCGCTTGGTATGCAAATAATTAATGACAACGTTGGCCGGTTTTAAGTCCCCGTGGATGATCTGCTTGGAATGGAGGAAGCTGAGTCCATTGCCAATATGAACAGAGCAACGAACAATCGAGGTTATCCCAAGGTTGAGCGTACCGTTGCGCACTTTCTGAATTAAGGCCGCCAAATTTCCATCTACAAATTTAATTATGCTTAAATAAGCATTAGTGCCCAAAACAGAGTGAGGAGAATTTACAGCTTGGTAGCAAGATCGAAAACGAGATTTTCAAAATTCTACAGTTGTACTAACCATAAGAAGGGTAAGCGAAATCTACAGTACAGCGGGCGGAAGTTCGCCGAAATTAGGTGGCAACAAAATAAGTTATTCAAGTTTTTTCGTTGCCGTTTCGTTTTCCCGTTTTCAAACTTTCAAACCTATAGTGAAAATATCATTGTGTAATGATGCAGCAAACGCGCACGCATTGTGCCAACGAGAATGGTCAAACGAGGCCAAAATCGGTATAATCTCTTTTTAAAGCAATTTCATATTTGTTTTTCAGAATAACTTAGATTTTTTGCGTAGTTAGGCAGTACGTACCGCCACAATATTCCATCATGAATTCAACGGACTGTCCTCCTGGTGTTTGGAAAATTGTGGATTTATAAAATGTCACAAGGTTGCAGTGTTTTAGACTCAGTAATTGCGTGTGACAATCTTCCACACTTTTGACGTCGGATAAAATACGCGATTCGTCAAGCGTGTTGACGATCACTTTTACTGCCACCTTTGCTGGACCATCGAAACTTCCCTTTTTTGTAACATAAGCTTCGTATACATTTCCAAAGGCTCCTCCAGCGATATGCCCCTGAATTTCGTACTGATATTCGCACGTGGCACCAAATGAGATTGATTCTGTATCCGTAGATTCCATCCAGGAATAAGGAACACACACCTCTGCTGAACCGCCGTACTATCTAATGCAGTGGTCAGATTCCTATCCGGATGATGAGCACGATAAAATCGTAGTGCATATGAAGCCGCGTATTACATACTTGTCTAGAGACAAGTATGTGATACGCGGCTATTCATATGCACTAAGATAAAATATAGCGAAAAATGTAAATTAATGGGTTACGCCAGAACGTCGTATAGTCACAGACTCACAGTAGTGGCCATCATGCTATTAAGCGCAAAATAGCGCGCTCAATCTGAAATTATAGCTGTAGTGGCTGCTGTACGTACCTTTACGGGCTCAAACTGCTCATAGAGGCTTATCCGGACCGGCTTGTACAATACAGAGTACATGTGGACGGCATGTAGACTGTACATCTGTACCTACCGTACTGTCTGCCCAGTCTTTGTTAATAATATTACAGCCTAAGTTTACAGTACCTTTTCGTGCGTTTTATAATTTTTCTGTCGAATATTATGCTGAAAACAGCATCGAGAATAAGCAAAGCATAGAATCCCAAAAGATTGCTGTTATACTAGCAGGCTACTAGGAGGTACTGTAGAACAACACTACGATTGAGGAATCAGAATATTACTGTAATGTTCTGCATTCCATTGCCTATTAATCCGTAATCTACAAGTAATTTTACAATGACTTCATCGCCGATCTTGCGACACCTGTATAAACCCGGCCCCGGCAGTTTTACACCAATACTGTATCCGTAAAATCACGTTGCACCGCTGCCAAACCATGCCCATGCCTTCCCCTTGCCGGGCATCGCATACGCCGCACCGAACATCGAGCAGCGTGCATTACTTTCCCGTAAACCATGCTCTCCGTGGTGCAACCGTGCAGCTCAACCGTCACAGAACGCTTTTGTCAGGGAGCACAATCAGCCACGATACGATAGTCAGCGAATAGTTTACGTTAGTTCCGTGCTTTATCTCTTCAGGTATGTAGCTTGTGGCCTAAAAGACTGCATATTTTGCCATTATTATCAGTTAACAAATAATTCATAGTAACTTTGGCATTATGCTAGGTATTTGTAACAACAGCATTGTTACCATCATTTCCACCGGAAACCGACCAACGAACATCATGTAATTTAGGTCGGCCGGATGACACCATACCATAATTATTATGACTGTATCTGAAATCATCGCTGTATCATATGACCTCATATTCCTCCACAAGTCCCGCCCCAGCTTAATAGTCTCACTTTCAACAAGACCATATATTGTAAAACACCAACGATCCACGGTCTGTTCCCAGTCTTTTATTTTACCACCAGTGGACAGCCTACAAGGTATGACAAAAAAAGAGGAATCGGCCAGTCGGTCGCTGTTTAAAGATTTATTAAAAAGGAATGGCTATTTTCGCCACCCAAGCACCTCCCTTGCAATTGGCTATTCTCACGATCTTTCACCACGTTTTGACTATTTGCACCCCTTTTTTAAAAATATTTTTGCACCAACTTTGGCTATTGACACCACCTTTTTACACCTCCTTCGATACTTTTCTGGCCGGCGGCGGCCCCAACCGTAAAGAAAGAGCGCTGCTAACGGCGAAGCTTTGACCTTCAGTCACGAAATCTTTTGTTGGCAAATTATTTAAAAAAGGTGGTGCGAATAGCCAAAAGGTGGTGTGAGGTGGTGGGAATAGCCAGGGTTCTATAAAAAAAGTTTTAAAAATGATCACATCCAGTGCGCAGTGTGCATTCATCACGTCATTTGCAGCAAAAGTTCATTTAGCTTTTTCGCTCTCTGCATTGCCGTTAGTAACCATAATTGAGGCCGCGAAAATTCCCGCTGTATCTTCACTGAAAGACCAATTACCGTAATAGTGCCCATCGGTCATAATTGTAGCCTTTTGAAGATATAAAGTACCTTACTTATACGATTGCGCGATTATACGATACATTGGCCGATTGGTATTTTAATGGTATGTTCTCTAAGCAAATTTTTAAGTTAATCGGCTTCGAAATCCACCGGGTATCCAACATCCACAAAGAACCACGTGTAAAGCGGTCGGAACTGTTTCGTGAGCAGCGTATAATTCAGACTGTTCAGACCATCACTGTCGAAGCGCCGCTGCGCCGTATTGACCAGATCGAAGCGCCGTTTATTCTTCGGATTTCCTTCGTCACTTTTGTGCGTTGCCATTGTGTAGCGACCGATACTTAAAGGTGATCGAGAAATACTGCCGAATTTTCTCTGTACGCGACGTCCAATGTCGTCATCTTCCCCACCTACCAAAAGGTCACACTAGTGGTCAGTACAATGTATGTCACATACAGCATAATTGCAAACAAAATTGTAAAATAATTATAAAAGAAAACTGATATGTGATCCGTGAGGTGTTCGTAACTCGAGTTGTGGAGTTTTTTATTTGAAACCCGACGCGATGGCGATTACGTACCCCAGCCCCAATACACATTCGGGTACCCATTTATCTCGGTAAAGTGCCGCGCCGATAGCGAAACCGCCGCCCCGAAAAAATGGTCATACAACGGTTTATAGCGGAATTTATTCATGGCGGTCGCTAAAAGCGTCGGTTCCGCTCGGCAGCCGTACGAGTTACTGTCGTTCTCCGGATACACATCCACGTCATGAAAGACAAAACAATCGAAGCGTCCAGTGGCGTTGATCTCCATGAAAGCCGCATTAAACAGCGTACCTAAGAAACCGCGGGTTTCCGTACTAGCTTTTTCTCCAGTGTATCTACAGATATATACATATGCACGCAATTCCACCGTAAAAGCGGAAGTACCTTTGTTAAATATGCCGGTTCCCGCTTGTTCCACAACAAAAATTGTATAGTCCAGTTGCTGCCGTTGCATAACTGGATGGAGATTGCTGAGAAGCATTTCTGTCAGATCGGCCAATCTTACGTTACACGGTAATGTAAATGTTAATGCTTAAATTACTTATTATTGCTCGCACATTAATTAACAAATCGGTTAATATAAAGTTCATTTTTCATCGTATACTATATGTATGCAGAGTACATGCTAATTGCAATAATTGCTAGCTAATGCTAATATACAGAATTACAATATATATACAGAATTATTAATGCTAATAAAATATATTTCTTGTATCAATAAAAGAAAACAAAAGCTTACGCAAATGTGCAGCCCGATCCCGGTAGGCCACCACAACCGCCGCGCGGGACCTCGCCTCGCAGTCCGCTGGCCGGAAGCGGCCACCGCGCTGCACTGCCGGATTGGCGGACATAATTTGTTCGTCCGATAAAACTGTCAATAACGGTTTGATAGGCCCTTTTAAATGAGGGGATGAGAAGGGGCACAATGGCAGTACAAAGGTCGAAGAAGGGGTCATAATCAGCAGAAGCCAATACGATGCCGCAAACAGTCCGATCAGAATGCCGAAAGGCGAGATCTCTTTCCAACCAATATATTTCGTTGGCTCAAAGGACGAAAACATTTTGTGAATTTATTATTTCTAAATAATTATTTAAAAAATATCTATAAAACATAAAAGTATTTGAAAATATTTAAAAATATTACAATATTATGCTTATTACAATTAGGATTTATGATAACTTTTATCATGATCGATACACAATAATACGGTTATTTAAATACTAAAATAACGATTACTAAAAATATGACGGCTTCGCGCTCTGGCGACAACAAAATGGATACATTGTAGCCTATTTCCGGTCTTCTACTGCAGTGAACCGGGCTGTATGTTGCAAATGATTTCACCAGACAAAACGGCGAATCATGTCTTTTTGTACCCGTTCAACGTCGTCAGCAGAACCCCACTTACCCCGTAACAGATTTCGCAGATGGTCAGCAACAATCCTTTTTATTTAACATAATTATTTTTCACCGCTGATTTCTCTGCTACATATACGGTCTGCTGCCCGTCATCAGTTTTTAATGATGCTTTAAATTTTCCACGTTTGTTGTTTGTTTGTTTATTCAGCTTAACGTCTACAACGATCAGGATAAGTTCCTGCATTAGGTGGTAGACTACCGTAAGCCAAGATAAGATCGAGACTTCGCAAAGTAAAACAAATATTCAATTCAAATTTTACAACAATTTATGGTGATCAATATGCAAAAAACGTTTAGTCCAATTTAGATCCTTCCATTTGAGGGAATCCAGAGAGGTTTGGAAATAGCCGATTGTCCTGTATGCGTCCTTGGGTAACTTTATTTCGTTACGTGTCCGGTAATTACAGTACTGCGTTTCACATTGTTAGTGTCCGATAGATGATCTGGCTTATCGCGGTTCACTTTGCCGAGCGGTGTTAAAACGTATTTTGGTTATTATCGTGCTCAGTGCTCTGAATTTGACCCTACTCACAATTTTTTATTTTAGGGAGATGCCCAGTAGTGTAACATTTAATTCGTATAAAATTATTTTAATTTTTACAATTTTTTTTTATTTTATATGCAGTCATATTCTATATTTCACTATAGTTAGTGTGTTTCTAAACGAAATGAATTGAAATGCATAAACTGCAGGGCTGCTACCTGACTTCTTTTACACTCGTGTTTTTCTGGCAACTGCATCGACATGCTGAGAAAGTCGTAGACAAGTGTCAGTGTCATCCCGCATTCACGCATTGGTGTTGCGAGAACGAACGCATTAATCTTCGTTCAATCGAAAAATTTCATGAAATATTGCTCCATATAAAATTTTAAAGTTTTTTCCATTAAATTAACAAAAACAAAGTGCAACAAATTCAGCCAATATATTTTGTATAATGTAACATACATAGAAGTTTATAGAGGAACGAAAAAACCCAGAAAGTAATATTACACTAATTACAGTAAAATTTCCCTAAAAAAATGCCAGCAGATTTTATTTCAGTCGGTGTTTGCCCTTAGGTTAACGAAAATAATTTAAAATGCGGCATTGGATTTCTCGTTTCAGTTTTTGTCTTCATGACAGCATGGACAATCAGAAATTCGTAGACAAGTGGCAGTGCATCCATGGGCCTTCAAAAAGGGTTCGATAAATTGCGAAATTTCATGCAGTATGGCTGTAAAATAAATCTCAAATAAGTTTTTTATTAAATTGGACATAAAAACAAAATACAACAAATTTAGCCAATATATTTTGCATACTGTAATATATTACACAGGAGTTCATATAAGATGAGGAAAACCATCCAAAAAGTAATATTATAATTCCCCCAAAAAAACTACCAGCAAAAGGGCTCACAACGGTTGACAGGAATAAAGAAAAGCCACGAGAAAACTACAAAACTTGAAAGGACCAAAAAAGACATGGCATACACAAATGGACAGAAAAAAACGCTACAAAAACTGAGCGGACGGAGTACAACAATCGTTAACATCAGCGGCGCATCCGTTTGGCACTGGGCGCCTCGTCCTGCGGAGCCGGGCGACTTTTGGTCCCTTTGGCGACGTCCCCGTTGGGATTGCAGAGAAAATGCGCCAAATAATCCGCCGCGTGACAGGACACGCCGGCCGCCTTGTAGCGCGCCAATTCCGCCGGATCCATCGTCGGACCCTTGGTTTCCTGCAGGAGATGCGTGGCCGTGCTGGCGAAGGGAGCATACGGCGCTCTGCAGCAAAAAATGGGATGCAATAACATAAAAAAATACATGAAAATAAATAAACGCATAATTTTGTAGCCTATGCTCAAAAAAAGCATCTTTCATGTCGTTAATTTCTTCCACGAATTTTTAAATATATAAAAATATCTTACGTATAGTGTATAGCGAATTTATGAAATATTAAAAACATCTTTCGGCTAATTTACAGCAGATTTTTAAAATATAAAACATCTCACGCATATTTTAAAGCAAACTTTAAAATATAAGAATATGTATATTTCATAGTAAATTTTTGTATTAAATACTTAGCAAAATTAAATGAGATAGGTGAATGAAATGGAGACACAAATAAAGCAATTGTCAAAGAGTAAAAAACTATAGACAAATACGAGGTACCCGGAATACAAATTAATTCGACTGCTAAGCAAACAAATTTGTAATAAGCAAGTAATGCGTGAGCGGAATGAAATGATGAAGATAAAATATTTGTGGATAAAAGTACTAGTAATGAAAATTGACAACATGAAACAGAAACGGCATGCCGAGTAACGGAAATGACGATAAAAATAAAATTGTCGTAATGATACAATACAACAAGAACGTGCGAAAGTTGTAGACAAGTAGCAATGCCGTGCAGCACGTTTGATCTGCCAACAAAGAACGCACTGGTTGAAATTTAAACTTTATGCGAAATCGTTGTACAATGTTCAAAATAAATACATCGAAATTTTTTAATCGTTGATTGGATAAAAGAAAAACCTGAACCGCAAATAAATAAGGTGGATAAATTACCAAAACAAATGTTGAAAGAAATTAGTTTATTCACATTTCACAACAAATAAGTTAGATGGGTAAATTCATGAAAATTAAACTAATCCCACCGGTGGAATGTTTTATAGTCAATGTTCTTCGTCGTTATGGTGAGCTTACTTGTCGGTTAGGACGACGGCGCCGCCGGCCTGCAGGACGCGGGCGTAGCCTTTGGCGCGGGCGGCCTCGGCCACCAGGACCACTTTCCAGCCGGCGAAGGCGCCCTGGCCGGTGCGCTTGACATGTCGCCGCCAGTGGCATCCCGCCGCGGCCAAATCGTTGGCTTTGATGGCGGTGTTGATGCTGGCCGCTTTCTCCATGTTGCCCCATTCATACATTTCCTCCTACCATGCGCAAATTTATCCAAACAATTATATATACCAACATCATTTCGCGCAGCTGCAATAACTTTTTAAATTATTTTTGCCTGTTCTCATGGTTTTATTTGGTTTAATATTTGTTGATGCATGAAATAAAGAGATTACAAACTGCGGCCTATACTGTACTTCGCATTGTAAAAATTTCCACAATTATCTCCACAACAAATAACAAATTTCCGCACAAAGGAAATATTTAATGAAAAAATTATTTTGCTCTTTTTTCAATTTTATGTAGTTTTTTCCAGTTTTTGATCGTTTAAGAATTAAGTTCAGAGGACACACAACAGTGAAAATAAATTTCTTTTATCAGTTATAAAATAATTTTTAAAATTACTGGTAATGAGTATTTTATAAAAAAGATATGGTACCGGTAGGAAGTGTCCGGTGGTGAGGGAATCCTGAATGTACTGCATGTGCAGTATCCATCGACCGGCCGCCGCGTACGCCAGAAACTTCTCATTGCGCGTGGGGACCTTGATGAGGAGGTGCGTACAGCCTGGCTCATACTGGACGGAATCGATGTATTTCCCTCCGAGCTTCATCACCGCGGCGATCAGCGTCCGCTTCTCGGCTTCCGTGGACAGGCCGGAGAAGCAGAACACCGGCTCCGGCGGGGGAGGTGGTGGCACATTCACGGTCATTGGCTGTACAAAGAAACCCTTTTAAATGCCGATTTATATTTGCAGCCGTACAGATACAATAAGAAAACAGCCCTGCGTCGTAATATAGAATAACAACGAAACAAAATACCGATAACACTCAAGCCAACTAAAACTTGGCGCTTCCAATCTGCACCACTTTATAACTACCCAAAACTACCCAATTACGTGTAGGAAAAAATGACTTACTATAATAAGGCCAGTCTACAATCTCCCAGATTCTCAGTGGAAAAAGACTCGTAAACTCATACACTACTGTAGATTCCAGATCATAGTATGTGACTACCGTAATTATCGAATTAGAAGCCCAGGGTTACAAATATTTCAAATGACCCACGGGGTGGGCTCCAATTACGGGCATGGGCTTGTATTTAGGGGGGGGGCCAGCCATTTTTCAAACCAGCTTTTTGGCATTTTTTAATATGGGCTTTACGGTATTTAATTAAGCCCATGGGCCTCTATTTCGGGGGGGGGGGGGCTTATAACTTTCAAACAACCTTGGGGGTGGGCTCTAATTACGGGGGGGGGCTTCAAATTCGATAATTACGGTATGTTCTACGACTGATCGTTTTTTATATATGCTGTGCATCAAAGGCACAAAGCAAAATATTTAAGCAATCCATTTCTGTGCTGCTGCTTTAACCTACTCCCGGATCTTGTGGATAACGATTAACGGCGCTGATAAAATGTGTTTCCTCAATCGTGCAAAAAAAGTGGCAGACCGTTATTAGGTCATAATTTCAATACTAAGAGAGCAGAGAACATCTCTATAATAGGTAGTACGAGTACGTCCGCGCGTGTTCGCTTCAACTGTTTCTGTTAGTTTCAGTCCGGTTTGTAAGGCATCTCTTAACTAAATTTTCTAACACAGGCATCTCATCCCACTCTGATTCCAGAGAGAACGGCGCACAAGACCAACAATATCCATCACATCAAAAAAATGATATCACGAATACTTGTACCACACTTGAACCGCCTTCAACACAGCTTTTGACATAACGCCCATCCATATTGTGGAAGTTAGAGGAGATACTACAGGTTAGCCACCGCACTACACTTTCTCTCATTCGCTGATTACAGCAAAACAAGAACTATCTCCAAACCGATCTGGATTCAACGGCCGTAATAACTACCGCATCAGTCGTAGACTCGTGATACCTTAAATAAGGAGTTCAAAACATAATCAAATTTACCGCCTAAAATGCGGTCAGTAATTACCGATCTTTCAGATCTGAAAATATGACACCCACTGCGATAATATTATACCATGGTCATCTTCCACCCATGCATGGTCTTTCCGAGACTTTTAAAAAATCAAAACTTATGCTTATGAATAAACTCGAACTATGGGAAACTGTTACCTTCGCGGCCGGCGATTTCACCACGTTCTCGGCGGCCTGGAGTCCCTCCAGCAGCGCACTATCCATCTCCAGACTATCCCAATCCTCCGTCCCGGGCTTCTTCTCCACATTCTTCCCCACCAACATCGCCGGCTTCTCCGCGACATTCCGCTGCGGCACCACCGGCACACTGCGGCTGTTAGGCGCTCCTGGCGCCGCGCCCACCTTCGGCAGCTGATCAGCCGATTTAAACTTCGACATCAACCCGGTGGCGGTCTTCTCCTTCATCTCCTCCGCAGATTTCTGCTTCCCCACCAGCAAATTCGTCGCACCCTGCGCGGCGGGGAGCAGGGAGGGAGCCACCCCCAGATTGATCATCCCGGAACGCGTGGAACCGCTTTTGGACGAAATGGCGTCCGACGACCCGGATTTGGTCGACGCAGAGGTCCCGGAGCGGGTGGACGGCCCGGAAATGGCCCCGGAGGACGCCGAGCGCGATCCCGACGGACCGAAGGCACCGCTGGACGTCCCGGACTTGGTCGACGTCGACGCCGAGCTCCGCGTGACGGAGGATCCAGAAGTAACCGTTCCGGAGCTGCTGGATTTACCGGAAGTGGGCTCGGAAGGATCCTGTTTGGTGGGGACGGGCGCGGAGGTCCCGGATTCGATCGGAACCGGTTCCGACGGTTCGGTTTTGACAGCGGCCGGGGTTTCCGGTTGGACGTCGTCGTCGGCCACCTCGTCTATTTCCCCATCGCTGTTCTCCTGTCGGTCGTCGCCTTCGTCACTTTCCAGATCGGATTCATCATCCCGCGGGCGAGGATGTTTAAACGGGTTCGGCCTACCAAATCAATCAGAATATCATTTAATCTTCGTCAATGAATTATCATTAAAAATAATAATCATAACTACACAAATTTTAAAGTCATTAAAATACTTAAATTCAGAATAAATTTACAATAATGTTTTTACGGGATCGGCCTGCCGAATAACCAGATTCAACTATTTTCATCAATCATCAATTTATTATTACTAAAAATTGTTTAAAAAAAGCACAATTATTAAAAATTGAGTTTACTTACAAAATTTGAAAGAATTTACAGTAAATTTTTTTTTACCAGGTTATAGCGTTTTTTTTAGAAAATAAAACGTACTCGGCCTGACTCCACACCAACCGGCCGCGGCGTTTAATCGAGCGGGGTTTGATGAAGACCTTGGGGAGGCGGGGCGCGGGCTTGACGGGTTTCTCGCGGTAGATGAGATCGCGCAGCTCATTGGTGACGCTCTTGAGGGTCTTGGGCGCCACGGGCGACAGATCGGGTTCCAGATTGAGAATGCGCTTCGACAGCGGCAGCACGCCGGGTTTAGCGCCGGCGACAGGAAGACGGACGCTGGCTGGCCTGCCAAAGACGAATAGTTATTCTCAGAGTGCATCGAAACGGCCCAGTTTGTTGACCAGTCAGTCCAGTCGCCAGTATGAAACAACTGACAATCACAATTACGGAAGAAGGTAATATCATTTTCATCCGCGTTAACCAAATTCTGGTCTATAAATGTAAATTCACGCTAATATTAATGAATTAAATCATCAGCTCCCAAAGGAAAAACTTTAACCGCAATGCAACAAATTTTACGTTAACGCATTCCATAATTATATACGATACTTAACGGGTACGTTATTTAATTTCACCCGACGACCAAGCGCCACAACACTACGATTCCCTTCCACTAATCTCCGCTTGCTAACTTATTACTTGTTACATCCTTGATAGCAAGTTTTGACAAAAACATTAGCTGTTTAAGAACATAACATCACGTATTGTCTGTATTACCAGGATTTTAGTATCGATAGCCATAAAATATGTAATAATAAGTGCAAACGCGGACACACTGTTACACAGTTAACATACGTAAACAAAATTTTAAATAAATTAATTATGTTTAAAAATCTACTCACCTCCGTTAACGAAAAAGAAGGCACCGTCGCACTGATTGATAATTAAAAGTTTAAACACTAAAAAACTAATTATCTTCTTTTTACCTAGGAGATTTGTAATTTCAGCTTTCTTAGGTTTTCCCCTAATGCGTTGGTGCAAGTTTTTATTGTACTGCTTATTTTGAATTGTTGAGCGTACAGCCATGGATTAATCGACTCTCACTCCGCCTGCTAATAACACTCTGACAGTTAAACTTACTTGCTGCCTTTCTCTTCCGGCGCCGTGGTGGCAGGATTGGACGGAGCTGACCCGGAGGCCGCCGGCTTGACGGCGGTCTCATTGACGACCATATTCTCCTCGTCGGATGCCTGTCGGCGCATCACCGCCTGCGTGCCCGGACCCGGCTGCACGGTATCCTCCGCCAAAATGATAGCGTTTAGCACGCCTTCCGGGATGGGTGACAGGCGGGATTTGTCCTCCGATTTCTGGGGAATCGCCGAAATGTCCAGAGAATGGTTCAGCGTACCTGCACAAACACAAAAACATTTTTACACAAGATTTGGATTCGTCGCCGAAAGTTCGGTGAGGGCCACAAAGCTAAGGTCTGGATTTTTTGTCTCCTTTTTCAAAAAAAGACCCGCAGTCTACTATGCAAAATCTTCGTCAAGCAGTTCCACAGGTTTAAAAGAAAATTTAATATGATTTTAATTAGAATAAAAAGCTTATTTAATCACTGCGTATCTTCTGCTCCACGGTAAATAGTATTTATAAAAACAAATTTTAAAAAATCATAATAAATTTTTTAAAAAATTAGACTAATTCAGATTGAACAATTAAATAAGATTTCAATTAAAAATTCATTAATGTCCACCTTTTGCTCCGTGGTTGGGCGTGGAGGTGGCGCGTAGCCCATTCGAACCTTGTTTGACATGCTCCGGCGTTTTGGGAGCGGGCGGCGTCGGTTCCACGAGGTATTTAGCCCAATCCAAGCAATAACCTAATCAAAAACAATGTAGCAGCACATTTCTTGTTGAAGCCCAAAGTGAATGAGTGGAATTGTGGAAACATACCTTTCCCAACGGAATCATCGACCCATTTCGGGTTGACGATGGCGATTTTCCATTTCCTCGCCGCCTGACATTTATCACCCAAATTCGAAGTGGAAAGGAGGATTTTTGTTGATTTCCGGTTCAGCATGCTGGTGAAAGTACCACCATTCTCCGTTACCGCTCGTTTGATCTATAACATAAACCCCATTAAACAGGAAATACGTACAAGTGGAAATCAGTGTAAAACTGTCACATTTTTTCCGTCAATTTCCATAAATTTCTTTGATCCTTATTCCTTCGCATAAACCTGTACCGTAATTCATCAATTTATACGCCCGTCGCCCAGAGCCGAGTAAATAAGTACCGAATAGGCGTAGAACAGTGGCAAAACGACGGAGATTATTGGTTCTGCCACAACGAACCCGACATAAAATGACAGATCGTAGCCGAAATACTTGCCAATTTTTTTAAACTGTTAAAACTCTTCGCTGCTGCTAGGAATAAATGTTAATCACCTGTGCGCGGACGCTGCTGAAAATTATGTGTTCCCATTCAAAAACGGAGTTACAACTGAATGGCTGATCGCTGCGTTTTTCTGCCGACTGCATGCGACACTATCGAATTTAATGTGATAATGCGTGAGTCATTTTTTTTTCAAAAATTGGTAAAACATCGCATGCCAGCCTGCCAGGTCTGGCGAAAGTCGCTGTTTTTTATGTTTTTAATTTTAGCGTTTGAATTACGAAGTTCAGGCGCAATATTCACCCGAGCGTTTTTGGACAGCACACAGTAACTGCCTCATGTTGAACGAAAAAAGTTTCTCATTTTAATTGTAATACTGTTCGACTGTTCGACAGCAGCGCAGCAGTTGACATGCTTAAGTATTTTGTCCCGCGTAGTGACATGTTACGCACGCATCCGCAGGGATTTGCGGAAATTTATTAACGATCAGTTATTAACAGTCAATCTTTTATCGATCAATTCACCAGAAATTCTGAAGACGGTAAGTATAATTCTTACCCGACAACGTTGCGCCGTGTCCAGCTGGGAAACGGAGATCTCCAGACCCTGGAAGATATCCAGCTGGTGTTTGTAGAGAATTTCCATTTTATTACAAGTCTCAACACCCGTCGTGGATAAGCGCCACATTTCTTCCACCCATTCCGGACGGACGACGTACTTCCCGTTCCTCAATGCCGCCTGCAACCCCCAAACGTCAGAAATGTGCCTGTTAGAATTACCGAGCTTCTAAAATCCAAAAACTTAAATATCCATTCATTTCCGTCGGCGTTTAAAATAATTTGACATCCACTGAACGCACTCATAATGTTTCAAGAAAATCCGTATATCGTATAAGTATAAAATTTTAATAAGGAATTTTTCTGAACGGGTGGCGATTGTTTAAATTTCAAAATACCGATTTTTAAATTACCAATGGTTAAATTACCAAATTTTAAATCAGCAGTTTTTCTTTATTATTCTTTCTTTAATTTTTCGTTGTGAGTCGACAGAATATTGATCTATGTATCTGCAGTCATCATGATTGATTAGTGCGACTTTAAAAAATAAATAAAGGATATTTAATTCAATTCGCATTCCCCCGACATTCTGATTCACAAACCATCAGATCGTATCGAAACTTACGAAATATTTCGGGGAGCCCACAATGGGAGTCACCAGATGCGTCACCGTATCCACCAACTGCTTCCGCGCCTTTCCCCCCATCGCCGCCACTTTGGCGTACGCAACATTCTGCCACAAATAAACCCCCGTTATGATTTACGTAACAATTCATCCGCGATGCAAAGGATTATTCGACTCTCTAAATTCTAACCCGTTTTTCGGGAGCCATGTTGGAACAGCACACTTCCACCTTGCGCAGCGCCATATTGGCTACCGGCCAGCCCTCCATAATGGGTAAGGGCCATTCGTTCTCCAGACAGCTCAAGATACAGCGCGGACCGTAGATGTTGCTGGATAAAAAACAAATAACAAAATCATCACCAACAAGTAAATAAGAAATCAAATTTAACTGATTTAAATCAGAAAAACTGATCGTTCATATACAGTAGAGTAAATGCATTCGCATGCGGATAATAAAATAATTAACAATAATTATAGCAACTACCGTAATTATAAATCTAATATTTTATTCTAATTTTTAGTACTTAAATTCTAAAAAAAAATTACAGATCATTATTAATGTCATTTTAAACCGACATTCTAATTTTCTATTTCCTCTTAAAATAAGAAAAAATAAACAAATGCCAATTTGGATGGACCGAAAACCCCAAATTTTTCCAAAAACACTCACCAACATCCTCTACCCCGAATCAGATCGAACGCATTCCCCTCGAACTTCGGAAGGACAAAAACAGCCTTCAACGTATTGGGTTTCTGCAGTTCACTCAACAAATCCTGCTCACGAATCCAGCGTACACCCGACACTTTACCACGTTGCAGAGCCTACCCAGTACACGGAAATCATAAAATTCCACGGAATTTTCAAAATTGCCCCAGAAATCCTTAGGACAACGCATAATAATGAAGCTACCTCGTAAACTTGATCGAGGAGCCGTCTGTCGTCGATGCTCGGGTTCTCCAGCTGTACAATCCGCATATCCGTGATTTTCTTCGATTCGTCCTCTTCATCCTGACATTCCAGTGGATCATGTTGGGACTACGATAAAAAGATCGTTTTCTAGATGGAAATGAGGATTTCAGTGAGGGAGGAACGTACAGAGGTGCAGCTACCACTGTCCGTTGGGGGAGCTGCGTTACGGTAGTCGCAGAAGGGGTTAATGTCGACTTCCATTTCCGCGTACAATCACCATGGAGTGGTTCCTTAACCGCGGCACAGTGCCAGGTACAGACAAAATTACCCTGATCCTCTGGCAAAAAAACTTCAAAATAAAAGATAAAACTAGAAAATTTAGGAGGAAAATCACGAAAATGTGTTCAAAACTACAAAGTAGTCGAGCGGGACTTTCATGTTCAAACAAGAAAAAGAAAACACCACACAAATTTTGACACAATCTGCCATTCATTTGACACATTTCGGGCGGTAGAGCGCATCCGCAGGTGGCTGTCATTGCGACCGACAGAATACTACCGGAAGTGGCTGTAAAATTTTTGGATTTATTTTAATTTTAATTTTGTTCTTATTTCAGTTATTTGTATACTTTTCTGAGTCCAAACTGCGTTGACACTTGACAGTTATTAAACTTGAAGTGGATACAATTGTGTATGACAGCAATAATAAATACGTAAACAAAGCTTCAATGTTTGCAGTTTGATAATCTTTGCTGAAGCTCAGCCACACTGCAGGCCGCTGAATAAATTTGAACACGAAAAACAGAAAAAGTGAAAATTAATAATAAATGATAACAAAAACGTGAATGTGAATGTCGAAATAAATCATCTTAATTGTTGTCAGTTGTTGCCAGTTATGTTCATCTGAAAATGCCCATCGATCGTGTTAGGTTAGAATAAAAATGAATTCCTTTTTTTAAAAAGTGATAATAATCAATTGGCAGGAACCGGGAGAATCACTATTTTGGGAACCGAAACGTTTATTTGGCGCCCAAACAAACAAAAGAAGATGTCAATAAATGAACACTACAATTTACATTATACACCGAGTATAAAATGCATATTAATTATTTCAAGTTCATAACCAGGTTCACGTAAAAGAGTAAGTACAGACTGCAGAGTAGATATCTATAGAAAAATTTTACATGCAGGTATCAGATTCTGCACATGATCGTGTGTATTGTACAATACATTAATGTACTTCGAAGTGTTACCATAATCTTGTGATGCGAAATAAATATCGGATATTAATAACGATACACTGTAAATAGAACGGTTAACCCATACGGCACAACTAATCGTAACAGTTTTCGTCGGCACATGCATTATTATACAGGATACAGCTGTACTTGTACATGTACAAAAACATAATTATCATTCGTAACACCAACTGCACTCGACCCAACGCGTACGGTAAATCATAAATTTACAGGCAATAACCATTAAGCTAGTAACTGATTCCCTTCAGCATTATCGTATTAGTAACGGCCGGAAGTCCATACACCGCCACCTTTACGTCGAGTGCGCGGGTGGATGGTAGACACCGCGTCGCAGGCACCATACATTGGCGACCCCCACGGCCACGGTCAGGAGGACGGCGCAGAAGGACAGCAGGTGCAGGGTGACGATGGTGATGTACAGTCCCGAGACCATCGGGTTCTTCTCTTCTCCCTCGGCCGCCGCAACCAAGTCCAGCAGGGTGCCGGGGAACAGCAGGCACATGTCCAGCAGCAGCATGATCAGCGTGGCGCACCCGACGGCCGTGTGCACAATCAAGTACCACCAGCAGGACGCCTGGGCGTGACGCCCGCGACTGGCCAGCAGCGAGGAGATCCCGGCCGCCCCCACCATCACCGCCTCCACCAGTGAGACGGTGTGCAGGATCCAGCTGTTTCCGTAGGGAATGTGCACTAGTACTGCGTATGAAGTAAAAAGGCTGATTAGTAATTTTTTTTATCAGTACGTACTTTAACGGGAATGTTTGTGAATAATGCTTCAATAATTAATTACATGTATATACGTGTAAGTGACCGCTTTTAGTTTCAAGGTGCAGAATTACGAGTCGACTGCCGTCTGTCTGCGGATAAACAGCACTGCCACTCACAGTACTTACGTTAGAAATGAAAGTTTATTGGGCAAAGGCCATCAGTGTTACAAAAAGTGCATTCGCGTAATACTACTTAAAATGATTCAAATTTAAACGTTAAAAAAACAGCCAAAATCGTTATTGCTATCAAAAACCCTAGGACGCATATTCAAGGTGCCCAAAACAGCAGCAGCATTTCCTTTCACTACAGCTAGACTTAATCTCTGCTTCAAAAACGCAGTAGAACGAGGTTCCCCTGTCACGTCGCGAATCTTTCTGCCAGCGAAACGAATGAGCTCCATAAAATCAGAACCAAAAGTGCCAAAAGTTTCGACTGCCAGGGCGTAAAACAGGTAACCCATCCTTTCCACGTAAGCGTATTTACGGCGTTTAACGTCTTCGGCCATATGCGCAACACTACCGGATGCACTCGCACTTGCCCGGACATGCGATGCGGCTACCGTGTCCCAGCATGTAGCGTCCCATACCAGCGCCTTACCATCCCGTACCGGGACGAGAGTCATGCCGTCTGGCCGCGTGTTGTTTATGCCTGACAGTCCGAGTGGCTCGCTTTGACATGGATACCCCGCATGTTCCAAAGCCCGCTTTATTTCGGCATTTAGTTCCGTATGTCTGGACCATCTGCCTCTGCTGCTGGTACAAGAAAGACCGTGGTGACCATTCGTCTCCACATGGCTTCCGCAGTTTACGCAATCGTGTTCTTCTACTACTGGAAGTCCGAAACGAAGTGCCACACCGATTCGAACTTCTTCATCCCGCAAAACGTACGCAAATTTGGTGCAGGCAACGCATTCAGCCATGCGCCCGAGTCACGGTGTTGCGCAGCTAACAATACCGCTCGATTCGTTTGGTCGGTAATGGCCAGCCTCATTGAGACCACTTCTTTATCGATCCATGGCCGATCCCATGCAAACTGGAATTTCCTTTGCTCTGTAACAGGGGGTTCACAGCCTGTCTCTTCCATCCAGCGCTGCACAATCGGATCGAGCGATTCTTCCGTTGCAGGGCGATAGATTGTTGAAACCAAAGAGATCACCGAGTACGCCGATGCCAAAAAGGCAGGAAACACTAGCGACTTGGCACTCCGTAGTCCCATTCCTCCGTCCCTGATAGGAAGCGTCATCTGGCTCCACTGTGCATCGTTCACGCGGATGTTCAGAATGGATTGCAAACCGCCACGAACGATCTTATCTATAGTTTCGGTCAATTCCACATGTTGATAACATCTGCCTGTGCGGAACCCGTAGAGTAACTTCGGTATCAGCAAGCAGTTTTTCAGGAGATATAGACTGTAATGTGCTGGAATGATTTTAAGACGGGATATGAAGAATTCCAGTTGCTCACATTTATTGCGCAGGAAAACGTCACATGCTTTTGCTGTCAATGGCGCACCAAGGAGTACAAATTCTTCTTCTTTCGTTACCACCATTTCGGGAAAGGCATCGAGCACCATCTGAACAGCATGCAACCGATCAGCAGTGAATTGACCCACGGCGTAAACTTCGCATTTATTCAGATTGAGTTCTAGTCCCATTCTAAAACCACGTGCAATGATTAAACGAATGGCTGCGATGACTTTTCTGCGTATCCTGCTAAGGTGACATCATCCAAGAAACCCACTGCTATATCGCAGCTTAAATTTTCGAATAAAGGCAGCGTTCCAAGACAATAACCGAAAGGGCCGGCCGGATCACCTTGCTGTACGCCGGTATCTGATGACAACTGGATCTTGCCGCACGAGAGATAAGAGGCACAGCGATAGGATTGCCAAAAATAACGGAAGTATGCAGGGAATTTATCACGCACTGCTGTCAATAACACATCCCGGCGCAGAGTGTTAAAGGCGTTTCTAAAATCCAGTTTCACAATAACTCGTGCGTCTGCATGGGTACCTTCAACATAACTTCTGACAGCATGGGCGGCCGCTTCAGCACCTCCTCTTACGCCGAACCCAAGTTGCACAGGGAGAACATTCCGGCTGCTTCTTCAGCGCACCTATTGCTGGCGATCTTGGATACCAGCCGGCGTAACGTCTCCGTTAGAAATTAATGACAGCATACGTGAATTATCGTAGTATAGTGACTTAAGACAAACGGGGGTCCAGCCCAAAAAGAGTCATACACAATACTGCAGACAATACATAATACCGCAGAAATAGCCAAAATTACTTTTTTCTAGATTGGTGGGTTAATGCACAATTATTGTGTCTATTATACATAATAGTCTATTACGCATAATAGACTATATTTACTAAGTTATTGGTTTATTGGCAATAGCCACCCAACTTGAACTAGCAATAATTGCAAGCGCTGGTACACTACTTAATAGTTCAAAGTTAAACATTAAAAAAACAACTAAAATCCTTATCCTCTCTCGGATTAAAAGGCAATGTACTCAAAACAGCCGTAGCATTTCCTTTAACAACAGCCAAACTAAAACGCTTCTTGAGAAAAGCAATAGAACGCGCTTCGCCCGCTATGTCCCGAATCTTGCCGCCCATGAAATGCAGCATTTACTAACCAGTAAAAGATTACTTATTTGTATGCACGTTGTACAGGTAAATTGTGTTACAAGCAGAGCATGCCTCACAGCTCCAGTTGTATTGTATAAAAGCTTACAGACTGCGGTCAATGCGGCAAGGAACATTCCAAAAAGAATTTCCACGACACCGAATACCATGAAGATCCTGGAACCGCTGACGAATTTATCCCTCTCGCTATCCATTTCTTGTAGACTCCAGAGTTAATTGTTTATCGTTGACAAAACAGTTAATCCGGTCGCTATGGCATATGCACTGTGTCAGTAAACAGTAATTACGAAGGAAGCCAATTTTTTTTACGTGATGTGATGTAGTATGTAAGCAGTAAAAAGCGCTATCAAACAGCGAAAATTACTAAAACTAAACTTTAAAAGCTGATTAGAGAAAATCATGTGCTATTTTTCTGATTAGAGAAATCAGAAATGCTTCCACGATATAAGTGGCTTGGACGGGAACTGGAGTGAAAGCATGCAGCCGTTACATTACAGTGGTCCAGTGGATATCGATTATATCACCAGCCAGAATAACATCCGACGGTTGATCAGTGGACACAGGCCAGAGAGCGTCTTCTCTCTGGCGAACACTTTCCGCCGGTGCCCGTCTGAATCGGTCTGATCAAGCGTCTTTTCTGTCTATTTTAATACCGCACACACTGTTTCAACAGAATCAACACTGCAGTGATGATCAGTGAACAGCGCCTCGGGCAAACCCACGAACAGCCGGTCACACAAACCGCTCAATCTTTTTGTTTATCATCTTCTTTGGCACACCGTGGTCCCATGGATCATCAGTATCGTCACAAATTCGCAATCAGCAAGGTGCGGCGTTTCCGCCACTTCAATAAAACACAAATTATTATAAAAAAATAAAAAAATTTAGTATACTGATCAGTCATCAATGAGCAGCCGTCCAGTGCGGCGGGAAGAAATCCGTGTGGTTGTACTCCGCGGCAATCGCTGAGCCGGGCCGCGGCCACAGATCATAATAGCGCACCGTGGCGGCATCACTCAGGTACGCTCCCCACCACCCGTACGTCCCCACCGTCAGCACAATATCGTCCATCAGCGTCAGCACCGCCAAATCCACCTCCGCCGAATTCCCCTCCATGTACACGATATTCCCCTTCCCGTCGAACAACCGCTGACAATACCGCACATCATTGCTCAACACGATGAAAATCGTCCGGGATTGGTACTGCGCTTTCAGGGCGTCGTAGCTGTCCACGAGATACTGGTCGGAGGCCGGGGTGTGGCCTTGTTTATGGGACGCCGTCCCGGGGACGATATCCCCGCGGCGCACATGCATGCCGATCAAGCGGTGGGAATTTAACAGCGCCACGGGGAAGGGCTGCAGGTGGGCTTTGAGCGCGGCGACGGCGGTCGTGTAGGTGGAGGGGGTGAAGGTGAAGTGGCAGCGGATGGTGTCGCGGATCGGGAGGAAGAATTTGTAGGATTGTAGGTAGCCGCTGAGGAGGAGGGAGGGCGTGGTGTTGGCGGCCAGGCGGGGGGAGAGCCCGGGGTCGTAGAAACCGCACAGTGGCATGTTGGTGACGTACGCGGCGGCCTTGCGGTCCTGGGTGGTGCGGCGGGGAAAGAAGTTCTTGAACATCTTCAGCCGGTCGCCCACGTCGTCCAGAATCGCTGCAGAGTACCGGCAACGTATAAATTTGGGACCAAAGCACATTTATCTACTGACATTATGTAGCCATATAATTAAGCAAATAGCGGCTAATCAAATCTGAAAATCTGGATTAGATGACAGTGTTTTTCAAACCGCAGATTGCATAGTTTAAAAATCATTAAACATGAATCATTGAAACGCTATGCTGTAATACTAAAAATGATTCTACACACACTTCTAATAATTTTCGTGTGTTGTGTTTCTTATAATTTCAAATGGCCGGAAGCAAAAAATTATTATCTTAAAAATCTGCCGCATAAGGTAAATTTCGTTCAAAGTTCAAACATTATTACGGTGAAAACGGTAAATGTTTATATAAATATGTATTAAAAAAAACGTGAAATAAAATTATAGTTATATAAAGAATCCTAAATAATTAAATTAAATAAGTATTTAAATTTATTTAAAATAAATAAGTAACTAAATTTTAATCAACAAAAAGATGAAAAAATCACATTATTAGAAATCATTCGTTATACCGTTATCGCACTGCACCGCTACATTATAATTTTTTATGAAACATTTTCATTTTCCACTCACGTGTCCGTCCGCTGGAGGCCGCCAGTCCCATGGTGGACGCCAGCATAAACATATAATTCCCCAATCCCCGCGAGTTGCCGTAATCATGCGCCAACACCCGTGCCGTCTGATTCCACGATCCACTCCCGCACTGCGCACGCAACCGTCCCTCCACCCGCCGCTCCAGCCGGTCAAACATGTGACTGGGGAACGCCGTCTTCTGCGCGGCGGGATCATGGAAACGACAGCGCTGCCGGGCGTCGGCGCTGGCACACAACCGCGCGGCGGCACCGGGCGCGGATTCCCCGCCGTAGCCGTGCATGATAAAGATGAACAGGAAGAAGACACCGGTGGCCAATAGGATTTTGATCACGTAGTTCCAGGAGATACTGCAGGATGCGCGGGAGACCATTTTGACGGAATGGAAAGATCACTGGCAAGGAATGCAACGTCGCTGCGGAGCATCTGATAATATGACTGATATCGATTGTTTGTCCGGGATTACGTCATGCTTATCAGCTGTGATGATCACGCGAAAAGACCGGTCAATGCATACGGAGATTACATAACTGATTGCAAGATTAAAGAGCGTCAAAACCACGCCGAAGTGTCCTAATCGGGTCTGTCGATGACTCGCATTTATAAATTATTAGTTGCGATACAGAAATTTATGCCGATGGATAAATCATAAAACAAGCAGCAACTCCACCAAATTCCTGTTTAAAGAATACGGCAATGAATTTCCAATAAAACGGCCCACGTTCAAGATCGCTTTCGCACGTTCCAGAGCGTAAGGAGAAATTTCGATCTGGTTTATCTTGGAACGATATGACGAAAAACAACAGCGTTCACATCGCAGGCAAAATAATCACGGTCTGATGGATTTTAATAAATGGATCAATAAAAATCTGTAGTTGTCCAGAAAGGCAGAAAAGCCAACCAGCGAACGTGATCAGACGAGCGCGGGTTCAAGTTTAAACCGCACACACAGCTGCAGTTGCAAGTGAGAGCGTGGGCACAATGAGCTGCTGCTTCACATCCTCCACACAAGTGTACGAGTAACAGTACAAGAGCTGCCTTCTACCGGCGTTGCATCATCGCAAGTCTGTGTGTGTTTATGATAAGAATGCTGATTGCGCTTTTTATATCCTCTGTGGACTTTGGATGCATACGTAATTTATACGGTACGTGCTGTGCTTTTATAAGCGTTTATTTATCTTATCAGCGGCAAGTGGAAGTACGATATACAGCAGTCGTACTCGTAAACCGTACAGACCGTCAAATTTTCATATCAGTAGTGGAATTTCATTTAACTGATGTGATGTCCACGTTCCTGCGCTTTTTTCTTGGATTCTGCTTTTTGCCTTCGAAATGGCAGCTACGTATCATAAACTTAATTCTCCCAATACCGTCCGTCGGAACCTCTGTGAACTCAGCCGAGGAAAAAAGTTAACTGGGTTGTTGCTGATCGTGATGGCAGTGTTTTCCCTGTATTTTCTGAACATCCAAACCGCGCAGCCTGACGAGCTGATCGATGCCACGATCAGCGGATTCAGCGTCAACATCTCCGACGTCTTTGTCACTGCACTGACATCCCCGGTAACGGTCGTCACGGCCTACTACCACGTCTCCTCCAAGAAGGATAAGAAAGCGTACATGCACTTCATCCAGAATTTCTTCCCGAATATACCCTGCTTCCTGTACGTCTTCACCAACGCCGAATCAGCGGCCGAGTTGCGAGCACTCCGCACACCACATTTGAACCGTACCCGCTTCATGATTATGGAGCTGGAAGAATTCCGGGAGTACTCCAGGATGGATGCGTGGCGCCGGGTGAAGAAGATCGATCCGGAATCCTACCACAGTCCCGAATTATATCTGGTGTGGAACGAGAAGTGGCGGTTCGTCCAACGCGCGATCCAGGAGAATGCCTTCCACTCTGAGTATTTTCTGTGGTGCGATGTGGGATCGTTCCGCTCGCCAGAGAATCTTCCCGTCTTGCGCGCTTTCCCGGATCCTAAAGTAGTGGCGGCGCGGCTGACCGATCCGAAGAAAATAACGGTGTTGGTGTTGCGTCCGTTCGATAGGACGGAATATGTCGACGAGAAGGGCTTACCCTCGGACGTCCTGAAAAAAGGACAGGTTGATCATATCGGGGCGGGGATTGTTGCGGGACAGAAGTCAGCGTGGGAGATCTGGATTGAGCATTATTACGAGATGCAAAAGATCTATCTGGAGCACGGGTTGAACGCGGGGAAGGAGCAGAATGTGATGAACGCGGTGGTGCTGCGGTATCCGCAGAATGTGCAGATGATCACGCCGAAACCGTATTTTGACGGACGAGGCGATGGATGGTTTTATTTACAGTACTATTTTTCTGTGATGGCGTCATGATTACGGGCTGTTTGGTATGCGTTTTACCAGTTTTACTAGTAGTAATTTTTTGTTGGGTAAGAGTGCGTTGCCGGCCTGTCATGTTTTCTAGCATGCTTCGCATTCTGCTTTGTTGACTCTGGTTCATCCAGAAATTTAACGATTTTTAAGAAGAAATAAACCGTACAGTTGTACAGTTCACAGAAATTACAGTACTGTACATTTTGCCAGTCGCGGTCAGGTACGAGCTGCAGAAAAAAGGTGCGCATAAACCAGTTCAAACTAATTTTTATTGAGCTGGTTATATTTATTTACTCAAATCGGCGGCGGAACTGCTGACCTTGCGCGCACCCCACATGAACCGCACGCGTCTACTGATTATGGAGCTGCACGAATTCCGCGAGTACTCCAAGATGGATATGTGGCGGCGGATTAAGCGAACCGATCCGGAGACCTACCACCCGCCCGAGCTGTGTCTGGTGTGGAACGAGAAATGGCGGTTTGCCCAACGTGCGATACAGGAGAATGCCTTCCACTCTGAGTAATTCTGTGGTGCGATGTGGGATCGTTTCGCTCTCAGGAGAATCTTCCCGTCTTGCGCGCTTTTCCTGATCCAAAAGTAGTTGCGGCGCGACTGACCGCCCCGAATAAAATGACGGTGTTGATGCTGCGTCCGTTTAATGCCAGGACGGAATACGTCGACGACCAGGGAGTACCGTCGGAGCTGCCGCAGAAAGGGCAGAGGAATCACATTGGTGGCGGCATTGTCGCTGGCTCAAAGCCGGCTTGGGAGACATGGATTGAGCATTATTATGCAATGCAGAGGTACCTTCTAGAGCATGGCCTGAACGCGGGGAAGGACCAGAATGTGATGAGTGCTGTGGCATTGCGCTATCCGCAGAATGTTCACATTATTACAGAAAAGTAGTACTGTAAATAAAACCACTCGTCCCCTCGACCGTCGAAATACGGCTTCGGGGTGATCGACTGATATCTGATACATACGGCAAGTACCGGCTCCTGATATACGCAATATACACTTTGCTTGGCAGATTGTTTGTTTATTTGTTTAATCAGCTTATTGTCTCAACAATCAAGGCATCCCTGCACAAGTAGACTGGAAGAAAAGATAAACAGGATGGGATAGCGTGGTCGGCGCGTGGCAATGTAACAGGCGAATAAGTTACCTGTGCGTGTACCTGTACAATTGTACGTGGTTTTATCTGAAAAATACTTTTATACCTGGCAAGTGCTACTGTGCTATCAAGATTCTGTTCTTCTTTGTGTGTACTTCAGAAGTAAAGGGGGTGTGGCGTATTGCATGAGATGTCACGAGATATAATGTCTGTGGTGACCTTTGTATCCTGTTTCCTGAGTGTCCAGCATGGCACCTGCGGTAGCAGTATATAAGTGTTGTCATGTTATTGATATTATTATTTTTAGTTGATCTTGTGCGCCCTCAGTGGCGGATTAGTATTAAAGATATTACCGCCACCTTCAAGTCGTGACATTACCCTGAATCGATTATTTCGGTACAGAGTACTCTCGCTTTATTTGGAAAGTTACATTACGCACAAAGTAGCATTTTAATCTCGATTATATGCGCCTCTTCCTTTCTCTAAATGCTAAACTTTTAAAACCTTCCAACGTTATTAGGTAGTAACTAGCTTAATACCCGTATCAGAGTGCCAAGCCCGTTTTCGGTGAATTCAACGAACTTTAATTTGTAATTAAAGATCAGCGCATTTTTTAAAGCACTTCGAGGTACCTTTCGGGGACAGAATAGTTATGCTTTGTTAATTTTGTTAGTCGGTTGCCGCGTTCGACTCTACAGCAATTAGCAACGTACTCTGCAATGCGCTCGCCTAAATTAACGCTACTACCCAGTTGCACCAGGTCCGACGAAGAAATGCGGCACAGCAGTGACTTTGCACAATAGCGTTAATTTATAAATTTTATCAAATTCGTTTATGCACGTATAAGGCATGATTTTTCTGTTGTGCAGAATGGCATGATATCGTGGTAGTATTATAGCATAGCCAATGCGGCAGTTTATACTTTATAGTATCATCCAAAGCTCCAAACGATACCTAGTTTAACTGCCGTGGAAGTAAGTTTAAACTTAAGTTTTTCCAGAAATGGCTGTCCAGTTTTATATTATCGGTTATTAAGATGCATTGTACTGGTGTTACCTTGTTCGTACCAGTACTGGATCGAAACATCGGCTGCCGAAGATTTTTATAAACTGCCTACTAGTATCTGTAGATAAACTGCAAATATCTATATTGAAATGTGCATGTACTTGTGCATGTGTTTTACCTTACGTTAATGTACGAGTCGTGATGAGGCGCTGGCGTTGGCTATTCTCCCTTCCTGATAAGAGCACTTGCAGCGCACAAATCACAACCAGAACAGTGCGGCATCATGGGCCACGTTGAGTTTTCCATCGAGAAACCTGTTAAGTATGCACTACTAACAACATAAGTAGGACATTCATTTGTGTAAACAATTAAGTAGAATAATGTTATCTCGAGCGAGATAAACGCGACTATGGGCGAAGCGGGTATTGACCTGGAATTTATGCAAACTTCTGCAAGTACTCGGACATCTACCTGTCCTCTACGGAAATGTGCATCTCTCCTTACAGTCAAGCAGACTTTAAAGCAAGGTACGTTATCAGAAGGAATCAAATTTGCCTGTCTCACAAATGTTTGTTAGTGACTGATGCGCGCTAGTTTAGTGTATCAGTCTGTATGAATACGTAAGTATCGAGCAAAACCTTACGGTCCTTACCATACAGATAGCTGGTCACTGTCACATCTCCCTAACAAAGCGTTCAACCGCCAACAAGAAAGCGCGCATTTGCCACAATGATCACTCGATCAATTTCTCTGATTTTTCTACTGGTTATCGTGTTTGTCGCGACGTATTCCTTCTTGACCGGTGTTTCGTTGAACCAGTCTGAAATTTCCTCGGGATACATGGTTGAACAGCCCTTAAACCGGTCGGAACGCAGCCATACCTCGGACACCTCGTTTGACGAAATACTCCAGAACAACGTTGACGACGTCGTTATACCAAATGTCCACTCCATTCACATGGTGCGCCTGTACAGGGAAACCCCTACGCAACACCAGCACAGTCTGTGCTGGCTGGAGTGTGTGGCGCTGCTATCGATTATGCTGTACGCTCCCCAATACACGATTTACGTCCACACTAACTACCCGGATTTTTGGCCGTTTGACACTTGCGATGGATTGATTCAGGATTGGAGGAGTGTTAAGCTGGTGTACAGTCGGAGAAGATTCGTTCTGAATGGTGTGCGCATGAACCGGGGTGACAAGTTCATTGCCCATGAAGCGGATATTGTGAAATACATGTCGGTGTATAAGTTTGGAGGAATCGCGGTTGATTTTGACGTTTTCTTTTTGCCCAATGTTACCCGTAAGTGATGTAAAACGGGTTTGAAAAAATTTCTTTGTAAAAGGATTTTTTGTTGTAGAATTGCTAGACAAGCTCAAGAATGGTTACGACTGCATCGTTTCAAAAGAGGAGGATCATGTCAAGAAGATGAATCTTGGATTCCTTGCCTGTCATCGCGGAGCGTCGTATGTTGCTGATGTTTTGCGGGCTTATAATACAGACTACCATCCCGATGCATGGGTTTACAATAGCGGGGAGGTTCCCTGGCGGATACACAGCGAAAGCCCATTGTACAAACAAACTGTTTATGTCGACGACGAAATTGCTAACCATCCCGGTTGGGAGACTATAGAACACTTTACCGGCGGTCAACTGAAGATTAACTGGCGCATGAAGCCGGCATTTCATTCGTTCCTTCATGACTGTGCTTACAACGTTACCAAGGCAAGGGAGATGGATACAGGCTTTGCAGAGTTGCTTGTGTCCATTCTAGACGATGCCGGTCAAAGGAAAATCAGCAGGGTTTAAGAGACTACGGTGGTGTAAACTTGGTTGAGAGTTGTTGCGAAACATTTAAATCGCTAACAGAGTAGACATTTTGTAAACATTTCAGATCTTATTGCGCCCTTATCCCAGTAGGGAACCGGCATATTAGTGGCATGTACCGTGACTACGGTTGCGAACGTAACGATTGTTCCATGTGCTAGCTTATACCGCCAAGAGCCGACATACTACGACTACTGCACGTACTTGTACAAAGAAAATTCCCGTTGTATGAACAAATAAGATAACTTTTGATTCCGTAAATGGGAACCACAAACTGTTACATAATCATAAATTAGGAAACAATACTATGAACAATACTACAAGTCTTGTTTAATTACAGCCCAAACGGTTCGATGGAGATTGGGTGGGAGAGACCGGTGGCGTATAAACCGCATCGCCGAATGCTGATTGGGGCGGCGGGGAAAAGCGTTCTGGAAAATCTTCATGCGGTCGCCGACATGAATTTTGAATAAACCAGTTCACATACAGGATGATTACATTACAAAATTTAATGTACAAGCACATTCACGACAAACGTGCACGATGTCAGTTCCGTCTATGTATTTATAGCGTGCAAAACGCATAAAATTAGTAACGGTCTCATGGTTTTTTTGTACTGGATCAATACAGCAGACAGGAAGCGATGATGTACGTTCGTGATCAGACCCGGCGACGGGCGTTCCCGTTGAAAACGCGCAACGCAGACATCGTAGCGAGAGTGTGAGCGGTGGATACATTGAGCTGCTTTCCATCCTTAATTTAGACAAGCAGCCGTCTGCCGGTGATACATCCTCGAGTGGGACGCTGGCAACTATTCTAGCAGTTGTTGCCAGCGTTGTGTTTATGATAAGGATGCTTATTACGCTTTCCGTCCTCTGTGGAGTATCAATATGAATCCATGCGTAATTTAAACAGTACGTGCTGTAATCACATAAGGACTACTCTACAGACCGTTAAACGTTCATTCGATTGATTGAACTTTCTAGAAACGAGAACCAGAAAAGGTACGCAGAATTCGTATAAACGTCTCATGAAGTTTGTGATTTTGTGCACTGCTCTCAAACACCGGCTATCTTCGTAAACCTTTTCCGAAATGACGGCGGCATGTTATAAACGGAATTTTCCCAACACCATCCGCCAAATACTCTGTGAGCTGGTCCGTGGAAAGAAGCTGACTGTATTGGTGCTGATTGCGATAACTATGTTCTGCCTGTGTTTGCTCAACTTCCAAAGCGAGCCGACCGACCCGCTTCTCGCGGTAGCGCTCAGCCGATTCCGTGCCAACATCGCGGACGTCTTTGTGACTTCTTTGACATCTCCGGTAACGGTCGTCACGGCCTACTACCACATACCCTCCAAAAAGGACAAGACCACGTACATGCAGTACATGCGCAACTTCCTCCCGGAGATACCCTGCTTTCTGTACATTTTCACCGATGCCGAATCGGCGCCGGAATTGCTGACCTTGCGCGCACCCCATATGAACCGCACACGTCTGCTGATTATGGAGCTGCACGAATTCCGGGAGTACTCCAAGATGGATATGTGGCGGCGTATTAAGTGGACCGATCCGGAGACCTACCACACGCCCGAGCTGTACCTAGTGTGGAATGAGAAATGGCGGTTTGTCCAACGTGCGATACAAGAGAACGTCTTCCACTCCGAGTATTTTCTGTGGTGCGATGTGGGATCGTTTCGAGCGCCGGAGCATCTTCCCGTCTTGCGCGCTTTTCCTGATCCAAAAGTAGTTGCGGCGCGATTGACCGATCCGAAGAAAATCACGCTCTTGATGCTGCGTCCGTTTAATGCCAGGACGGAATACGTCGATGGTAACGGAGTACCGTCGGCGATGCTGCAGAAAGGGCAAAGAAATCACATCGGTGGCGGCATCGTTGCTGGCTCGAAACCGGCCTGGGAGATATGGATTTTGAGCATTATTATGCAATGCAGAGGTACTTTCTAGAGCATGGCCTGAACGCGGGAAAAGACCAGAATGTGATGAGTGCTGTAGCGCTGCGCTATCCGCAGAACGTCCAAATGATCACCCCGAAGCCGTATTTCGACGGTCGAGGAGACGAGTGGTTTTATTTACAGTACTACTTTTCTGTGATTGATTGACGACTGATGAATCAAAAGGTTAAAGGTTATCGTTTCGGCGCCATATAGTACTACCCGACCCGGACCATATTCGTACGTTTCAGCGGCCAGCATATTGTCATTCATTAACGACACTACCGCCAAATCCGTTGCCGCCCCTTACCCTCAATGTACACGATATTGGCCCGGTAAAAACTCGACGGCAAAAAAAAATCCTTCAAGTGTACTCTCAAGAAAGGTTGAATAGTGCATGATACTGTCAAAAAATGCTTGAAATAATTTAGCACTGAACTGTGTTTTGTTGAGTGGGATCGATGAATAAAACCACATTCCAGAGAATTCGTGAACTACAAATATATCAAATTAGGCGTAGCACTTGCGCAAACATAACCCGAATTCCCGTTGAATATATATATTCTTACACCGACGTCATCGGCAAAGTTTGCAACTTCAAGATATTTTCGAATTAAGGTTTAACTGTAGTTGGGAATACGGCGATCAAAGCCTTCCGGCCTTCTGCCAAAATGAAATGCAGCATCTCCCAGTAAGTGGAATTCTTGGCCAACTGCACCGTATTTTTCTCATTTTCGTCGCAGCCGTGCCAATACGCATGCCATGCCGGTATTTCCTTGTAGCGTATAGGACCCTTGTAATCCCAGGAATGGTTACCCATCTGGTAGTCCACAAAGAAGTTCTTCTGATAGTCCTTGTTTTTGTTATAAATCTCCCACGGAACATCCGCACTGTTGTACAGAACAGGAGGGTCACGATAGTCGTCGCGATAGCGGAGAAGGACGTCATGGGTATACGGGTGACCTTTGGGGCAAGCGATGAATCCGCTGTTCATGAAGTGGTCTTCGCGAGTCAGTAAGCACTGGTACTTCTTGTTTTTCCAGTCCCGCAACAGTTCTGCGAAAAAACGAGACCTTTGTATTCCATATTCAGGGAAACTTTGCAGTAATATAAAACAATCCGCTTTAGTTTCGTAAAAGCAGCAAACCGCGTACGCGTAATTCATTGAATATTGGTCTAAACCTTTATTCGGCAATCGGCAGTAGCTTCCGTAAAAATAAAAATGCTTTTCGTGGTTTTTGAATTCAGACTAGCGTTCGTTTTGAACGTTAAAAAACTCAAATGATTTTTTTGTTTACTTTACAATGTATATGATTATTTTTAATCGACTTGTTTGCGATAACGTCTTGTTTCTTACAGAGTAGAACAAACTACCGTACACTATAAGATAAACGGGCATGTTTCATAAGTGTTCTGTGTTTCAGTATCCGGGAAACAGCGTCAGGTACAGCCGTCCAAAATGTTCATAATCATAAAAAAATAATGTATTTTTATGAAAAATGTAACTGAACAACTCTAATTCAGGTCCTCTAATTCAGACAAAATTAAAAAGGTGATGTCTGTCTGTCCGTTACGGAAGTAAGAAATGACGTCATACAAGGAAGTAATGTCGTCATATAAGGAAGTAAGTAAAATGATGTCATATAAGGAAGTCGGAAGTTGCGTCATATAAGGAAGTAAAAATGATTTCCACAGAAAGGTCACATCAAACCAAAAAGGAGCAATAGTCACCTTAAAATTCGTGATCTCCCGCATACACTTTCTTATTAGTCCCGCTACCTGCCCTTTTGAAAAGTTGGGCATGAGTCTGGCAGTGGATATATTATTGCCGAAAAAACATCGTAGGTCCTGTTTAGCTTTGACCCAGAAAAATCTAGGTTTACCTGCTCCTCTATTCCTATGTTCGGCGTACGGGACAAAGCTGCCAAGAGTAATATAATAAATTACAGCAGCTTGAGTTGGCGACCCAAGCAGTAAGTTTTAACGCATTTTTATACTTACAGTAGCATTACAACGCAATTTTTTGCTATTGTGTGCACACAATGAGTGTGGCGGCACTACAAGCGCAGAATCGCTTAGACCAAAGGGAAGCGTAGTACAAAAAGTCTCTGCGCCCCATTCTGAACAATTTTTGAATAACAGTTTCTAAAATCAATAACAGTTCGGAATTACATATTTCAGAAAATTCTAAACTTTCACCAAACTAAAAGAATAATTATTTTCAAAAAAAAGCTGTGAAGTGACTTTTTGTGAAATGAATGCGCATCTCATTTAGAATAAATAGAAGTAATTTCCGTTGGGGAGAAACTGCATTTTCACTCTGGTAAAAAAGTTAGGTCACTGTTTTTATGGTGACAGGAGCAGCGTGTTGAAAATGTCAGGTCGGCAGCTTTTTTCTTTAAAGAGGGGGGTCATTATTACTGGTCACATGAGTATGTCGAAATGTGTTCGAAATTTGCACAAATGAAAGGGTTTCGTTTTGCTTGAGCATGCACTAGTAAGAAATTACGGTTTTTCCTTGAAAAATTAAGTTTTGAGATTAAAGTATGTATGATCACTAGGAATCATTTCTGAAGTTAGAAACTTTATAAATGTTTTGACACTATGAGAATACTTTTATTAAAAGACGGAACTTTTTCACGGATAACGGAAAAGGATAATAAAATCAGTTTAAACACAATGGTTAAGCGACTAAGCTGCGCTCCGGTCTGCCAATGCACGCCAAAGTGCATTTTCCTAGTAAAAAAATAATGTATTTTTATGAAAAATGTAACTGAACAACTTACAGCATTTCCCAACTTACCCACCATCTTGGGCAAATGGAATACGTCACTATCCTGCACGATGCCGCCGTACTGATACGCCACACTGTATTTGGTGACATCCGCTTCGTGTTTGTAGAACGTAATGCGCCGGCCACTGAGATGGAAGCGCTGTCTCGTGTACACCAGCTGTATGAGTGACCAGTCCGTAATCATATCACAACGGCCGAACGGCCAGTAATCGGGGTAATTGGTATGGATGTAAATCTTGGACGGTTTGACGTACAGCATAATCGATAATATGCTAATGCAGTCGATCCAACAGAAACTGTGACTGTCACCATGGGGCAGGCCAAAATAGAAGCGAACCAGATGTACTGGTAAGAAAGTGTCATTTTGCGGAAGAACCACGTCGTTAATAATGTTGGGCAGAGGATTAACGATGAGAGGCTCGGTTAATGGATACTCTTCCACATCTTGGAAGGCCACGTCGACGGCATATGCCGGGTACACCAGGGAATTAGAAATTCCGTCCTTCAGCGATGTGTTTGCGACCAGTGTCCATCGATTATTCGGATTGGTCAGGTATAGTACGGTTTCACACAGAATGAACACAGCAGTGAGTGCTGCGGTTATTTTGATGAAATGACCGATCCAGTTGCTAGACTGCATATTGGCTGTCTGCTTTAGCATTCAGGCCAGTAGCAGAATAAACATTTTGTAAACGTTACAGATTTTGTTGCGACTCTTTATCCAAACAGGGAACCGGCACTGAGGCATAATATACGGTTGCAAACACAAAGATTGGTATATCAGTTAAAAAGTACATACGTACAAAGAAAATTCGCCTATTGTTAGTATGAATGACTAGAATAACTAAGATCTTCTCAGGAAAACCATAAACTGTAGCGTAATACGTTGGGAAATGAAATATGATAATTAAGATCAATGTTAAAAAAATAATACTAAAAATCTTGGTCAATCACAGCTCCAACTGTACCAAATAATTTAACGCCCAAGACATATCATTGGAGTTAAATGCGCCAAATCGCCGCTACTCGACTGCCGGTATTGTAAAATGCCCTGGAGTAACGGTAAATATGAAGCACGCCGACCCTGAACTGCAGTACTACACAAATTGGGACATCGCGGCAAATTTGCCCAAACCGCGTCGCATGCTTGTAAAACATGGACGCTACTTTTACTGCCTTTAAATTCGTTTACTCGCAAACAATAGTGGCGTGAAGAATTGGCATTCCATAAATATAACAAACAGAACATGGTTGACATAGCTTTGCCGCTCGTCTGACCGCATACGGCATGCCGCATGGCCTACATCGTAGCGTAACCATGTGTCCTTAAGCTAGTACAAACAGTTTACATGGCTGTTGATTGCGAATTGTATTCGGCGCATTGGCATTTTACCCTGCTGGCCCACAACGTCCACCACGGAGTACACATGGTACATCAAAAAATGAGCATATACAAGTATAAGTCGTGCCGACTTAGCATGTTTCTGTTACACTACACTGAAGTGTAATACAGTAAATGTTTTTGTTAGCTTACGCGTTCAGTGAACAAATATGACACATTGCAGACTGCTAGAGTGCCACGCCCTTGTCCACTTAGCGTGGTATCGGTCATTCATTTACACGACGGCATATGCCATTGAGCAAATAAACAAGCGGAGACGACGAAGCCATTAGTGTACCTTGACATTTCAAAGAAGATCAAACATTGCACTCCGGAAATCTCACTGTGCGTTGTTAAAGTGTTACACACAATAATATGTAATATGTACCAATGACTTCTAGTTCGTAGTTCGTACTGCGAACATCAGACTAACGAGTGCGTTATGCGCGGTTGCACTTCAGTCTGCCGTTGCTGCCGCTGATTGTTTTGTCCCCTCGATCGCTTCAGATCACGAACGGGGTAATCCGATCCTTGATTAGTAAATATTCTTTCAAACATTACTACGTATGGAGTAAGTGTAACAACGTTCAGTCCATCAAAGTGGCCCTGTTACCGTAGTCTGCATGTACAAATTATAAATACATGTCTTTGTAAATAATTTAAATTGATAATAATTATTATATTATACATAACTGAATGGACATAACTCAACGTATTTCAGTTGCAATGGTTTAGAATATGACCGTTATTCTCTTTGTGAATGTGAGTCACTGTGCCGTTCATTATGACGTATTAATCTGTTGATTTGGTATCCGTTCCATACGACTGTGTGTTCATACTTCCGTTCTTAATTTTTCCCGTTCACTGGAGGAGTATGACAGGAACACCGAAAAATTGCTTCAAGGTCATCGTTTAGCAATCCTTGAAATTAAGCCTGAAATGCATGTGTTATCAAGGAAAGTTTAAGTATTGTTGTGCTATGCTGGCTGTCGTCATGAGTCGGCGATCTTCCTAGATTTCATGCAGACTTTTGGAACTTAATCCTGTGATACGCATGTGGCTGCCAGATCAGTGCTGCCCACGGGATGACCTTCCACTGGACACTCATTGACGGACTCTATTTGTACAGTCATAACAGTTCTGGCCCGTTATCGCTTCGTAAATGGATGTTCATGTGCATAGTTTTACCATCCGTATTCTGCCACCAATGCAGCGATCTCATGGCTCGGTGTGATGGTTTACTGGAGCAGCAAATATCGTTAGGACTAGGAGGAACTAACAAAGCCTTACCGACATGGCTGATGAACGAACAAAGGACATACGGTCGCGACCGTATTTGCCGGTACAGTAATCGCGAAAAATTTGCCCATGCGAAAAATTTGCCGGTACAGTAATCATGTCGCGTTTTTGTGGATACGTACACATATTGGTGTAAATAACCAAGTCTACTTTTCGTTTATTAAAATGTCGCCCAGTTACAATTGGAGGAATATTTGTTAGCTTACATTAAAGAAGTATTTTTTTGTCAGAATATGCTTCGCAATACAGAATTGTTTACAGTGCCTTAAACGACAGCGGACATTGCTTGAAACAGCTCGACATCAGCTGCTCGCATGCCGTTTTAACCCAACAAGTTCAAGTGGCAGGCAGCCAATTTACCGCCGACCTGTTATTGCGCATGGCTGACCTTTGCAGCTCTTTCAGCAAACAACTAATGCCCCTGGAAATAAAACCTAAATATTTCTTGACGGCGTGTGCCATGATTAAGAACGAAATGAAAGTACTGTTGGAATGGATCGAATTCCATCGCATCCAAGGCGTGGAACACTTCATCTTCTTCGACGACGAGAGCAGTGATGATGTGTATCTTCTGCCAAGGTTATACGAATCACTGGGCTATCCAGATTTGGTGGAGATTATCCCGCAGAATTTTCGCCGTCGCAGCCGCCCCGGCGACCACTCCTACACCGACCACGACCAAGGTCAATGGCAGGCGTTGAACCACTGCAACAGTCGTATGCGCGGTGTCAGTGAGTGGTTACTGGTCAGCGATGTGGACGAGTTCATGTTCTCACCCCGGCATTACACTATCGCTGCCTTCCTCCGCAGCCAAGCCGACGACGTCAGTCAGTATAGCGTAAAGGTCATTCGCTTTGGGTCCAATAAGGTGCAGCGAGAGAACCGCGTCCGCTTGTCACTGAATGCGTATAACAGCCGCGTCACTGTTGTGCACGAGATCTTCAACGAAGACATACTGCTGACGTCACGAAATCCCAAGCGGGCACCGTTTCCTGATGTTGACCCAGATTTTCCACAGCGATTCGACGAGATTTGTGCTCCAACAGGGAAAGGTCAGGGGTGTGGGCATGCGGTGGGGAAATCGATCTGGCGAGCGGATCACTGTGGACTGGCGTCCGTGCATTCCTGCGGAGTGGATCCGCTAGAAGGCACAGCGTATCCCGCTTTGGACATTCTGCGAATTAATCACTATGCGTTCCGGTCGAAAGAGCATATGGATAACCAGCCCAAGCACCAGATGGGAGCGATAAAAGGGTCAGCGTATGCAGCATTCGATTCCGTATGGTTTTCTCTCGTCGATGACAACTCAACCAAACCGTATCGGCAGGAACTACTCAAAAGACTGAATGCCATACCCACAACTGCAGTGTATCACAGAGAAATGCTTCCCTTCGGGCGGAATGCTGATGTGGAAAAACGTTTTCTGCTTAATGTTGTTCTCATCAGAAATTCGATTCGTTGCGTGTACATTGCCACGGTCTATATCGTATGCAGTGTTGCATTTTTGTGGTTCTTGTCCAAGCTAAAGAAGAAATGTCTATACTACTCTAGGAAATTCTCTATTTTTTGCTGCGGATAGTTTCTGGGCGGGTACGCTTTCCGGCATTTTTTCTGCTTCACTTCTTGCATATGTTATATATTCTAAATGTGTAATTCATTCATGAATACAAGCGAGGAAAACATTTAAGTAATTTTCAAGCCAGAATGGCGGAGATATTAAAGTGTACAGGTGCACAGATTACCCGGTGAAACTTTATTTATGAGGAATTATCGGTCAGTGCAGATGATGCAATCAACAACTGCACGCACAGTCATTTTATAATGGTGATTGATATGACAACCGAGTAAAACACGTTGGGAAGCCCCAGCCAGATATCATTAATCCCAGCCCGTTTTCCTAGTCCGTGCTGACAGGAAAGACAAAGGATGCATAACATGAGCAAGGTTGCACAATAACAATGAAACAGCGAAAATATTTGCAGCCATTCAGAATTGCTGGGGTGAGTGTAATTAAAGGACGATTTGCTTGCTAATCGATGTTAAATTAGGTAGACGCAATCACTTGGCCTCTCTATCTAGACTGCACTATTGTAATCAGATCCTGCAGCACGGAATTTTTATTACAATTCTTCCATTAATCATCATATCATGCTCCAGCTGGACAACAGTACATCCATAAGCAATAACAGAACAATTACTCCCGTTGAGCTAGCTTAAAAGCAAAGAACACATCCTCGTTGTCAACCATGTCATTAAACCATGTCATTAAACGTTCCAAGAACGGAGACCGCGTTTCCCCGTTGTATCTCAATACTGATTTTCTGGCGCAAAAACTCTCCTGACCGAGGATTACCCGTACAATCGCAAATCTTTCGCGACAGCTCCTTGAAGAATTTCTTTGTGAGCGGTCCAAATGTGCCCGTGGTTTCGATAGCGATCGGCTGTACTACATATCGGTCTGCAAGTCCATCGTACTTTCCCAGCTTATGGTTTTCGCGTGCTTCCGCTGCACTTCCCGGCACCCGTGACGTCCGGGCGATGTACGTTTGAGCGAACGTGTCTGCCACTGTCACATCCCATACTAACGGCTTCCCATTTTTCCAAGGGAAAGCGGTAACTCCATCTGGTCCTTTTCCATCTCCTCTGTCCAGTCCCAGCGGCTCGAGGGACGATGGTATTCGTGCAGAGTTGAAGGCTCGCTTCGTCACATCATTCAACACGGCGTGAACGCCATGTCGTCCTTTCGCTAACTTAAACACCAAGCCATGGTGTCCCAGGCTGTCCACTACGTTACCGCAACGGCATATGTGCTGTTGGCAGACTGGGGCTCCCAACCGTCGCGCAACGGCTATGCGTAAGTGGGCCTCCTCCAATAGGTTTCCGAAGAGTGATACTGGCAAAGCTGACAACCAGGCGCGCGACTCCGATGAGGATGCAGCCAACAGGCGGGCAGAGGTAATTACGTCGGCATTCTCCATCATGCGGGATGCTGTCTGGGTGTGTTGTGGTGTAGTCCAAGCGGACTGGAACCTGCGACTTTCTGTGCGTGGGGGTTCGGTAGAGAAGCGGGATGTCCATATGTCTGTCAGGTGGTTACACCGGTCTCTGATGGCTTCGTTGCGGGTGACATTACACACCATGTCGACAGCACCGTGGGCTGATGAGGTGTAGGCAGCTAATGCCACTTCCGTTGCGCTGATTAGTCCCAAGCCTCCGAATTTCGTGGGTAGCGATGCTTGGTTCCATACTGTGTCTGAAATTGCTACATTGGTCAGCTGTTCCGCTTTAGATCGGATGACATCGTCGAATTTCCGTAATTCTTCGGGATACTGCCAG